GAGTTTGGAGATGCAATCCACTTCTTAAATCTATCTTTGTGCTCCTCTAATTTATTCAGAAGTTCTGCGATCACACTTTTTATCTCACTCCCAGCTTGGTGGTGGGCTGCATATTTAGATTGCCTTCCCTGGAAATGCCTTTCCAAATTTTTCTTTTTATTTTTTGCCAACCTCTCATTACAAAGCAAAAATGCAGTAAATCCTTCTGTATTGACAATGAAAGCAAATTATTTGGTCTTTTCTTTGAATCCTCTTTTCTCATCAGCTTTCTTCCTTTTTTCCCTTTGGAATCCATGGTCAGAGACACACCTGCAGCTTTGTTTGCCTGGCACAGCGCCACGCTGGTTGCAAGTTATGACCACTGATCTCTATGGCTATGATGTAAATTATTGTTTAAATTTATTTATTATATAAATATTTACAGCATTGGAAAACATTATTCATTTTTCTTTGACCACCTGCACACCATATTAAAACAAACATAAAAAAGCTCCAGAGAGCCGCAAGGGGGATGCTAAAGCTCCAGAGCCGCAGGTTGTCAACCCCTGGTTTAACTAGATATATAATTTATCTTTTATACTTTTTTAACTAGTCGAGTAAATTAAGGTTGACTTTCTGTTATTAAACAAAAACAAGACCTATTGCAAAATTTTATAAATTTTGAATGTAAACATATCCTATTTATCCATAGTGTAACACATCAACTATTGATGATTAAAATCCATAATATCACAAAAAAATAAATGAGTCAGAATATCATGTGAGTCTAACAATGGTAGATATAACTGAAGAATAATGGCACTGTACAACGGAAAAGTGAAGTTTATGTACATCATGCAGCATTATCAGGGTGGCAGTTCCCTGTGTGGGCACCAGAGGTCAGACATAGTCCCACTCTGAATATATAGATGAGTTTGTAGAGCTGCAGATTGCTCACAGTAATCATGTTTTTGTAGGAATAATTTCAATATAAGTATACACCTAAAAACAATAATCTCTTCTTTATTTAAGAAAACTAAAGTGTTAAACTTAAATTTAAAGAACCTTAACTATACCTTTAAATCTATGACATCTATGATGTCATAAATGTGAAGTGACCTGAAAGTGTTTTTTTTTTATTTGTTCTTTAAATTAAGTACCTTTAAGTAGGGCTGAATTAACTCCATGTTGTCATTTTAACTCGTTAGTTTAGGTGATGATGGCTTATGTCTGTTGCCGAACCGTTTACTTTTTCTTTCCCTAAAGTCAAACAATACTCTTCTCTGGTATAAAAACAATATAATATTTTCTGTTTGGAAAATGGCATCTCCAGATATTATTCGGACCATCGTCTTCCAAAAGTGACTTTCTGATGGAGAGTGTGGGATTCTAACTTGGTTTTGTTTGACTTGTCTACAGTAATTCTACTCCTAAGCATATATTCAAGTCACCAACTTGAACTTCTCTCTGATGTTCTTTTCCCGATTCTCTCCTCCCCTCTGCTGCCATCCAACTGTTCTCCATGCTAGCCAGGACAGACTATCTTTTGGTTCTACCTCAGTCACTGCTAACCTAATTATAGTATATAGAACACACTCAGTTTGGCAGTGTATGGTGTTTGAAACCTGATGTTGTGCTATTTTAGGACTTTCTTTTGGCTCTTCTGTTGTTGTGAAAACATGATCCCTGTTGCATAGCTGTCAAAGCTCCTTCTTTCCCAGGAAACTATAATATTTCACCCTTCTTTCCCGATGTCCTTCCGTATTATTTCAATACAGTTTATTTATATAGCACCAATTCACAACACGTTATCTCAAGGTGCTTTACAGAGAAAGTACTCTCAGATTGGTTAGAAAAACCAGTTGATTGAATCCTGTCATTGACTTGCAAGATATGGTGAATTTCACATTTTGTTGGTGACTCTTCAGCCACTTCTTTGAACCATAAGTAACCTCCAGCAGAACCAGGCTCAGTGTGAGCGGCTTTCTACCAAGGCCGAATTGAGTTCAAGGATATAGAAGCAGATATACAAAAGGTAACTGTTAACCAGCTCGACACGTAGCCCCTTTCAGGAAACACACAGACAGGCAGACGTGCTCTGAGCCAGTTCTCTTGTCAGAGGATAAAAGAGAGCACAAAGAGTAAGTCACAGTAAAAGAAACAGGACTATATTGGACACAGGCCACGCTCCAATATCTATAAACAAGAGATGTTGATGGCAGCAGCAGACCTGATATTGCAGGATGGAGTCACAGCCAAACAGGAACACACTAGATGAAGCTACTATGATGAGAAAAAGCAGAGAGAGCATAAAATTAGGAGTGTATATAATAAATACTGCAGGATGGGAGATTAGGGATAGAATGAACCAGAATGATAAAACCGGTCCCTTTGTCCTCCAGCAGCCAAAATACATATAGCAGTCTCTGTTTCTATCTTACAATAAGACATCCTGCATAGATGCAAGATTTTCTTCTTTTAATATTATTTCTTATGCAAATATACATTAATTAATATACTCTACCTCATGTAGGTATTAGTTCTGTGTTTCATAAAAAAAAAAAAAAATCTGTTTTAACTCTGCGTCATCATCTGAGAAAAGGTTAACCATTACTAATTTTATATTTTCTTTTCCAGTGTATATTCTGTATTGTATATATGCTGCGCCACATGGATGAATTAAAATGCAAGTTTTAATGTCAACAGTGTCAACTGATCAAATAAGCTAAGCCATTATATGGATATCAGATATTTAAGCCTTTAATTACCACAGAAATGCTCAAACTAAGTGAAACTTGCTAGCTTAGGTATTTAGTGTTAGGATTCCAATGACAGCATTGTTTCAAGATTAGATAAATAAAAATACCAAATAGAAATAAACAAACTTTTATTTTTGGTGGGAAATTAATACAACAGATAGACATGGAAATATAGGGGAACAGAGAAATAATGTAGACTGCTGATGAGGTCGGTACAAATGAAGATGCAGCAACAAAGGACTCAAGAACAAGGGAGAATCTAATGTTAACTTTAACCAGCATGCTAACTTAGTAACGAAGCAAACAAAACAGCAATTTAGTGACATAACGTCAGAGATAAACTTACCAAAATGAAAATAGCAGAAGTTCGCATTCATAAAACTGAGGACTGGGTTCAGAACATGGACTAAGTGTTAAATGAGGAAACAAAAGTTATGAACAAGTCAGAAAGTAAGCTACTCCACCAGGAAAGCATATCTTGAGAGAATCTGAGCCTATGTAATGTTCTTGAAGGTGCTGAAGGGTCATCTTTGGTGGAATTTGCAGAACTGTTTGGGCATTCCCTACACCATAAGACTCAACTTGGAGAGAAAGCCTGTCAGGTTTTGGATTATGAAATACGAGAATTTTATGACATCTGCTGTAAGCCGTCCAACTATCCTTGTCAAGTTCCAGAATCTATTGTATTTCAAGATATATGCACAGGAACTATTTTGCAAAGTACAATAAGGTCAGATTTTGATATGATTTACGATGCTAGTGACAGTTCTGTTTAGAGAGGCAGATCAATGTTTTCTTAATAGGATTTTATAATACAATAATATGGAAAATTTACAGGGGCCAATAATACGTGAGGACAGCGGGAAAGAGAGGTAAAATACAGTAGTTTCCGGCCAAAATGGGAGACTTGAATGCAATGGCATAACCGTAATAACTGGTATAGAGTGTGGAACTAACTGGCTAAATTCTCTGTATTGTCTTTACTTATTTCTATAAAAGGTTTAATTCTTAAAATCTCCAGTCTTCTTCCAGCTACCCCAATATCTCTGGATTGCTTAGAAAGAAAGCCAAAAAAACAAACACAACAATCAGAGGGGATCTCCTCCTGCAGTTGGACAACGTTGTGTAAATTATTTGTAGTGTTGCGCCAATGCCTTTTTTTGGCCCCGATACTGATACCCGATACCTGGCTGTGCAGTATTGGCCGATACCGATACCATAATAATGTAAAATAATTGCCATCATGGCTTTGTCAAGCTGCTGCCTACCTTTGTGAAGCAGGAAAAAATCTAATACAAAGTGAATCCAGTAGAACTTTTTATTGCCTACCAAGAGTGGATGACAATAGTTGAATAAACTTATGGCTCTCAAAATGGTATTGGTGCCCTATTTGTTGGTACTCGCCGATACCGATACCACCATTTTAGGGCAGTATCGGGGCCCCGTCCGATACTGGTATCGGTATCGGTGCAACACTAATTATTTGATGAACTCTTCTACCGCCTTCTACCGCCTTTTAGGATAGCCGATAATGACTTTTCTTGCTGATACAAACACTGTTCATGCTACTCTGATTTCAGTTGGCATATCAGACTTTGGCATGATCAGTAGCAGATAGCCCTTATGCTGACTTTTCTACATGAGTCTTGGGCAATGTGGTAAATAACAAAAGAGAGGGTAAGTAAAAAAGGTGAAAGTACAACTTTAGAGGTTGCGTTAAAACAGTCACGTAATTGCAGAAAATGTGACTGTATAAATTGCAAAGATGAAAAATTCAGGCTAAAAGTTTGCATCTTCACAACTTCTGATTAACAAATGTTGGATAGCCACATCATAAAGCAAGCAAATCTGGATTGGAGTGCTTCCCCTTTTTTCAGTGCAACACAAATCAGAGGTTATTACCAATATGCTTCTATTAAAAACAAAGTGCAAAATTTCTTTGCAACAGACAAAAAATTGTAGATATGTAAACATAGGAAATATTTGGTATGCATGTATATTTATAGATGATTATACTGATGATCTTAGGCAACAAAGTAATATATAACTTTATATATTGTACATATATCAACTAAAGTCTTACAAGATAATTGCTGATGGTGATAGCTCTTAGAAATAAACTATTCTTCAGTCTGTTTGCTTTAAGGCTTTTAGTAATCCATAAATTGTTTATATCTGCTGCTGGCAGCTGTTGTCTAATTTCAGCAATAATTTGCCTAGAGGCGGGGTCGTGCAATGACTAATAATAGCTGAGCATACAGGCTCCCCTCTTTAGTTTGATCCAAATCCAACATGTTGTTTTCAGTTATTCTCCTGGGCCTCTGTATTTTCTTCCTTCTTCTCCAGCTCAAACCTCGGAGACCCAAAAACTTCCCACCAGGACCCCCCACTCTGCCTATACTGGGAAACCTTTTGTACCTGAACTTGAAGAACCCCTTAAAGGACTTTGAGAGGGTAAGAGGGACTATCTAACAGGTGCAACTTATTACCTTCAATATTTCCACCATAAAAGATAACAGCTTTTTAATTCCTTTATAATTAATTATTTAGGTCTTTGCATTTGGACTTTACCCAGACAGTATTGGATGTTGAAGGCAGTAAATGTTTACCCACATGCCTGATAACACACAGTACATGGTGTATATTGTATTCCTTGATACAAAATTTTGTTCTCAACCATTTTATTCTACAACAGAACACACTATTTAAGCGGATATTCCCGTTTCGTACTATAAAAATTTGTCTATTTCTTTACAATACACGGCAGTGAGAATTATTATAAACAAAATCTAAATACATGTTTTTTTTCTTTTTTATCTAATCTATATGAATTTATGATTAAAATCAATTAAAAGAATTTTTTTATAGTTATATGCATTTCTTTACACCTTATTGTAAATTTTCATTTACCATAAGCAAGATATGTGTATAGTTGTGGATAGACTAAAAAGTGATTCTCTTCTTCTCCTTCAGCTTAGGCAGTCCTACGGAAATGTCTACAGCATTTTCTTTGGTTTAAAACCAGTTGTTATGATCAATGGATTTCAGGCCATGAGGGAAGCAATGATAGTCAAAGCTGTTGATTTTGCTGGACGGCCCCAAGACATGTTTATGAATGATGTTATTCAAAGAAAGGGTAAGTTGTGTTTTTAATACATGCAAATTGAAATTGTAATCGGTAAGCAGTTGAAATTAAAGATGGTATGAATCAGTGGCTCCTGGTGGAGTTTTCTCTAGGGGGGGCTATAAATTCAAAATAGATGTATGCCAAAAGATAATCAAACGTATACTAAGTTATCACACAAGTATATTTATATGAATGCCAACAACAAAAAACATTATAAAAACACTTTATAAAAGCAAAACATATATTTTATGAACAGGTTTACTTTATGTACATACATTTAGAGATATGACTAAATTTAATTAATTTTATTTCAAGTCAAAAGTCATCAAAGAGAAGATTATCTGCAATGTTTGTTTAAGCAGTAAAATAATTTAATAATATTAATTGTGCACAGAGGAATTTAAACTTTAGGGCTTATTTCTATATTGTTGTGCTTATTGTAGGTGTAATTATGGCCGATTATGGCTCAGTTTGGAGAGATCATCGTCGCTTTGCTCTGATGACATTGAGAAACTTTGGTCTTGGGAAGAAATCCATGGAGGAAAGAATTCACGAAGAGGTTGAATGCACAATTAAGACACTGGAGAAAAACATAGGTAGGACATATTTTATAGGCAGAATATTGCATTTTGTGCTGTTTTTGGTTTATAATTGTGCTATTTTTCAAAATGTGTTTTGTCTTTTTAGGTAAAACCCTGTGTCCTCAATTTATGTTCCATAATGCAGCCTCCAACATTATCTGCAGGGTTTTGTTTGGAACCCGTTATGAATATGAAGATGAGATAATCCAAACTATTGTTAAGTGCTTTACTGACTTGACCAGGATGGCCAATGGAATGTGGGCTATGGTGAGATAACGCATCTTAAATGGCATACATCTGAGTTAGGAATGTGATATACTGCTGCAAATGCAAATTGGCATTTTAACGAACCCTTCCTGTTTCTCCGTTAACTAATAATCCTCGTGGTCTTTCAATCCATTATTTATATGATTCTGAACCAGACAGACAGAACATTAACCTGTGAGCAAATGTAGATCAGAAATAATCTCTTAACTGTGTTTTCTTAAAAGTTATCTTTCTTTACAGTTGTATAACTCCCTCCCTTTCATTCGCCCACTGCCGCTGCCCTTTAGGAAGGCCTTTAAGGACATTGAGGTAAAGTAGGAAAAAGCAACTCCATATAAAAAAAGAGAAATAAAACTAACATTCAAACTTGTCTACCACAGGTTTTTCTGAGTATTGCAGTTGGTTTGGTGAATGAACACAAGAAGACCAGAGTCCCTGGAGAGCCGCGAGATTTTGTGGACTGCTATCTCGATGAACTGGATAAGGTGTTCAAACACATTGAATTTAGAATGTCTGAAATATTTAACACAGAGAGCAAGGCACAATAAGGGTGGGTAATAGAATATATTTAATCTGTACTGTTCAGTATGATTAGTAGGTTATTTTTAAACCCTTTTATTTTAAGTGTTCATGTACACTAAGACTAAAAATGCCTTCAATCAATTTGGGACAGTCCTGATGATTACATATTGATTTATTGAGGAATTGTTTCTCAGATAGTCAACACAAAGGAGGAAACATGTTTAAGCATTAACAGAATTTATCCCAGTCATGTTTACCAAAATCATTGATACAATTGATACTTTTTCCATTTTATCTAAAGTCAGTGAGGAAGTGTCTCCCCAAAAGCCCCCAGTCAGTATCTAGAAATTGTCACACAGCCTACAGCATTACCATATGAGGTGATGCTAGAACCAATCAGGCCACATAATGTCAGCATAAGAATATTCATTTTGGCTGACCCACATAGAAGAGTAATAGATATAGAAATAAAAAGATGTAACAGTTATTTCAAAAAAGAATAAAATAAAAATAAATTAATCTTCAACACACCAAACTAAAAGTGGATTAACATGTATAAATCATCCTGAAAGAACGGCCCAACATAAGTTATTAATTGAGTAGTTTAAAGACAAAGTGAATGCTTTGTAGTGGCCACAAAAGGCCCTCTCCTAAATCCCACAAAATAACATGTTGGCAGAGCACAAAAAGGTTTATTTGAGCAAGTTTGTCTTTTCTTAGAAGCTTGTGGAGGGATACCCAAACCATTTGACCCAAGTCACACAATTTTAAAAAGCAGTGCAATGCAGTATGAAGAAAAAGTAAGTAAAACTCAGACTTTAAACAATGTAATTTTTTTCATGTTTAGCAAAAGATGAACAAACAGGAAATGTTTATCCTAAATTGACGTCAGATAGTGAAAAAAAGAGCCTTTTTATCGTGTATTAAAATTAAACTTAATTTCTATTTACTTTAAAATCATCACTCTCTCCCATCCAGGAAGAAGAGGGATCTTCTTTTTCTGAAGAACAGCTGGTAAGGCACACCTTTGATCTTTATATTGCTGGGACGGACACCACCTCCAACACTCTTCTCACAGGCTTTCTTTACCTCATGAACTACCCTCAAATTCAAGGTAGGTTCAATCTCAAAAAAAGAAAAGCACAAAATCTATGCTCATAACAAGGTTTTGTCCAGGATGGATGGATGGATGGATGGATGGATGGATGGATGGATGGATGGATGGATGGATGGATGGATGGATGGATGGATGGATGGATGGATGGATGGATGGATGGATGGATGGATGGATGGATGGATGGTTTTATTTGAGTCATTGTTTTTATTTTGCTGATGATTATTTTTGATGATCTCAGAGAGGAAAGATTTTCTTGAATTTTTTATTTTTGTTTGTTGGTATGTCACTCTGGGAAAGATTCACCTGACATATGTGGCTGATGTTTTCTGACCCACACCTAGAATCAGGCACAGAAACAAGTCAAATTTGGATTTAGTTTACAAACTCAGCCAAACAGGATGGGTAATGAACATGGAGTCCCAGGGGAGGGACAAGCACCAGCTGGAGGAGGCTAATGTCTGTTTTTTAATTTGCAATTGATTGATTGATTTCTGAATTCAATCAATTCAATTGAAAAGTACTTTATTAATTTCATATCAAAATTAAATGCTGCGGTAAGTCATTTTTTATGCATGAACATTTGAAAACAGGCCCATAAATATTTGAAATAGTGGTCACATTCTCTAACCCTAACCCTAATCCTACAGAACGATGTCAGCAGGAGATTGACCAGGTCCTAAAGGGGAAGGAGAGAGTCTCTTTTGATGACAGACACAACATGCCTTATATGCAGGTTTTACACATTATTATCCTAATCCCTCTTTATAATTTTAATAATCTTTTAGTGGTTTTCAGCTCTCAAATTGCATATCGATTGCATTTTATATATCGATCAAGTATTGAGTCAATTCCTTGCAAGCTGAGCCCCTTTAAGCTCAATGAAGCTTTATATTGTTTTGATTCTGGCTCTTTCTTGAAGAATTGAAATGATAGGTATTCCATTTCAAAATAGATTATAGAAATCTGTCTTTATCCAGGCTGTGATCCATGAAATTCAGAGGATTGCCAACACTCTTCCTCTCGGTATCCTCCACAGCACAACTAGAGACACAGAGCTTATGGGATACTTTATTCCTAAGGTATAAGCCAAGCTGCCTAAATTTGCTTCATGTATTAAAGATAGAATGACCATACTTTACTGTTTCTCTCTATCCTTTGCTTTCTCTGCAGGGTACAACAATCGTCCAGAACATGATTTCTGTCCTGAGTGAGGAAGGACAGTGGAAATTCCCTCATGAATTTAACCCTGAAAACTTCTTGAATGAACAGGGAAAGTTTGTCAAACCAGTGGCCTCTATACCTTTTTCTGCGGGTAAATAAGCCAAGAATTTGTGCAACATTATGTAATAGTTATAATATAGATTCAAAAGCTACGTTCATACAGCAGTCTGAAGTGACCCAATCCAATTTTTTTGCTCATATGCAATCTGTATCTGATGTTTTCATGACAGTCTGAATGTCACAGATCAGATTTTTTTCCAATCCTACCCAGTCCACTTGGCTATGTGGTCCTGAATCCGATACAAATCTGATCATTTAAAATTTGACCTGCGTCTGAACGGCTATGTTGCATTTATTCGACTTGTACTTCATTAATACTTAACTGAGGTCACTATTCTTAACAAAGGTCACGTTTCTGTGTCTTGCTACACAACAGTGGGAAGAAGAACAATAACTATGGTGGACGATAATTCGGAAAGCAGTCCCAATTTTCAACTCTCTTGAAATTATTGTATTTCAAGATGTGATTGAGCACTACTATCCATGTTTACTTCCATAAACACAGAGCAAAAATACTTATGATGTCTTGCGTCCTCTACTACACATGTGGGACATTTAAGTTGTGTGAATGCGGTTCACACAGAAGATCACTTACATGTTGCATATATTTGGAAATGTCAACAACCACCCAAAAGAATCAGATTTCACAAAAAAATCAGAGTTGAGCATGAAGGCCTGTAGTGTGAATGTAGCCTTAGATACTGAAGTTCTTTTTGTCTCATAGGACCTCGGATGTGCCTTGGAGAGGGTCTGGCTCGTATGGAGCTCTTCCTCTTCATAGTGACACTGCTGAGGAAGTTTAACTTCATCTGGCCAGAAGATGCTGGTGAACCAGACTTTACTCCACTATATGGAATAACTCTGACTCCTAAACCTTATCCTATGAAGATCCAGCTGAGACAAAAACAATGAGGGGCTCGGGAGTTTTGCACTTAATATTGCCTGATTTATTTGGTGATGAAAACAATTATTTCCTTCAAAAATGTTGAATAAAACACATAAAAACTGAAATGTTAGGGCAACAGTTTAGATAAAGATAAATCATCTGATAAATTGTACATAGCCTGTACTGGGGGTTTTATCAAGGCCAAGTACCCCAGAGCTCTTTAGTCTACATTTAGTAATTCACCTATTCACATAAACATTTAAAACTGATGAAATCTAGGCTATACATTTACAAAAAGAAACCATCACTTAAAAACATTTTCATAACAGATGATAATATAAATCAAAGGTTTATAAAGCTATTTGTAAGCATTTGGGACTCAAAGTACCACAGTAAGAGCTATTATACAAAAATTGAAAAAAAACATTCAACAGGGGCGAACTGTCCAAACAGAGATTAGCCCACCAAATCACTCTTAATGCTCACCGAAGTCTCATAGAAGAGGTCTTCTGTGTTTCTGTTTTAGGACCTAGAGTCTTTGCAGTGAATGACAGAAAAATGGCCCTGTTCTCGAGCTAAAAAGCCAAAGGAGAATACTGGGCTATGAGCTTGGGATCTTTAGCCATACAAACAATGATCCAAAGCACATCAGCCTGCAGCCTTTGAATATGAGAGGCCTATTTAAAGTCTGGATTTAGAGTTGATTAATTTTCTGTGGTAGAAAAAAATATCTATGTTTTTAAAATGTTTAAATATCCATGTAATAAAGTATGTTTTTGATGAAAAGGGGTAATTTCTCAAAAACTCATTGCCTGTTATAAATACTTGAGGCTGTTGTTGCTAAGGTTTGCTTGAGTCCTGCTTGAGAGCGCGGAGTGGTGAAACCATGTCCACTGAAATCATGTCAGGCCAACCAATCAAGTTTTAGTTGTGACATTAAAGAAGTGCACTCGAGACAAAGCTTTTTTCTGTCAAAATGGAATATAGAGAAAATAATTTAGACAACGTATGAAATAAGTAGTGCTCTTAAGTTAGTTTTTTAGGTGGCTTTAAAAAAAGGCATTTTAATATAGCACTAGAAGGATTGTTGGTCGTCCTGCCTTATGTCCATCACAGACACTAGCCAGCCACTGCCGCTACCCAGCACTGGTCCTCTCTGCCTTGCTAGATACAAGGAAATACCACCAAATCCAACCACCATCCAGACGAAGCTCTAGTTGAACCAAAGCGGACTACTTTTTCAACTGAAAAGATCTCCGTACAGAACAATTTAGCAGCAGCCTGTAATATTACGTTTCACCTACGCTTTTATTGAGAATTATAATTGCTAGATTTTGACAGGAAATGCTATGGGTTGCTAGGGGTAACAGCAGATTCAAATTGAAGGATCTGTGAGGCAGATGTAACAATCATTCCACCCACAAAATAAGGTAAACATGCTCGCTCTTATACTCAATGCCAGCACAGTGTTGAGGATCAAATATCAAGCGACTCCCGTCTCGACATCACATACTTGTGACAGATTCTATTTAAGCAGCCGGCACCATTCAAACTCTCTCTGTCCTATGGCTTTTGGACCTCGAAAGGGGAGATGCAAGGCTGTTTTCAGCTTAAGGCTAAGTCCTAGCCACCAAATCCCCTCAAGAGAAGATTTGGTGTGGGCTGGCCAATTCAGACTACTAGATGCCTCTCATTCAGAGGTGCTGAACATAGTGTCTTGTTTTTCCTTTGTTTCAAAACAAGTTGAATGCATTGTTTTGTGAACCCACCTCCTGAAGCAGATAAGAATGTCTCCAGTTTGTCTGGCTGACCCACTGAAAAGCCGGGCCCAATTGCTGTTCTGCAAAAAGAGCTACATAAGTCGTTCATCTACTTGTTGATGAACATGCTTCTGTGTTTTCATCTGAGAGGAAGAAGAAGAATCCTTGTTTGCGCAGCCCAGTGAGCGATTTGCCCACAACGGCTGACTGAAATCAAACATGTTTGATTTTCTTCCAACCACGCGACTCCTGATTGGGAGGTGGTTGAGAGAGGCTGATCACCCCTTACTACCCCCTGTACAGTACACGACACACAATGCACGATCAGGCTGAAAGCACAACTGGAAAGTCGGCCCGAAAGGGCAAAAAAATCACACAGTGTATGCCCGGCTTTATTCACCCCTTCTCTGGATGAGCTGTTTTGGCTTTCCACACCCTGTTTTCCAGAAGGCCATGCCCCCACAACCTTTAATAATGACAACAAGTCAGAGTTTGTAAAGATAGCGACTAGGAACATAGAATAATACATTAGATGAAGGCCATAGCTTTACCGATGGGCTTTTACAGACCGCTCTGAACAGCTAATTTCCCCTTATTGCATCATTAGGGAAATGCTTTTCAAACAGACCATTAGGAGGACGCATTGTCACTACCCGATCCGTCCCGGAAGCACGATCAGCGCATAAGCATCCAGATATACATCCGGGCCGCCCTCAATTTTATTTTGTTAAAGACCTAAATGACATTTCTCCCTCCCCAAAAATAGTAAGCGTACTAAAATATAATGAGTTAAAGGTTAATAATGTATTCATGAGAGAACAAATGCCTTAAAATCCTTTCTGTTTTATCAGGCGATCTGCAACAGAAATGGGATCCTACGCTACTTCCGGTGGCTAACTTTTTCGGCTTTGAATATAAACATAAATCTAGTCTTTTTGAGTTTTACGTTTTCGTTTTGTTTTAATCTTATAATATATAGTGCATAATCTAAAGAAGGAAACAACTAAAATGCAGATAAACATGGTTTAATCATATTTTGCCAGACTGCTCTGAGCATGTCTGTGTCATGTTGGGTCTAAGGAGCTCCACCCAAATGCAGAACACCACGGAGTCAGAGTAAAAGTTAACAACTGTTTATTGAGAGATTCACAAAATAAAGTTATTTGCACTGATACTGGAACGGGTCCGGGACTGGAAACACAGGGCTCTCTGCAGAGAGGGACAGTTTGATTAGCCAACTAGCAGAGGAGTCTTGACAGAGCTTGTGATTGATCTGTACCTGATGGTAGTTCAGACTGAGCGTTGGAGAGAGGGGACCAGATGGGTCCGGAGACTGAGGGTTCAGCAGAGGGTTTAGCAGCGGCAGGGCTTGACTTCAGATTTGAGAGGTTCAGACCTTGAGTTGATCTCCTAGTTCTCACCAGAGAACTAGCTTGCAGATAAGAACTGTTGAACTTCAGGTTTGGCTTCATAGAGCAGGCAGGCAGGTCTTTGAATGTGAGCTCCTCCAGAGCTCCTGAGTCGATAAGGTCTTCCTAGGAAGGTACAGTAAGAGGACAAAGGCAGGTTAGAATCAGGTTGGCTTTCAGAGCAGTCAGAGATTCAGGCAACAGGTTTGGCTCAGGCTTGCTAACCATAACTGTTTAACACTCTGGCACTGAAGGGAAGCTCAGCTGCTGCTTATAAAGCTGGTCTCCTGATGAGATGATCAGCTGCAGGTGTGCTGGTGGCTTCAGCTCAGGAGACCCAGGGACGCCCTCTGCTGGAGAAAATCGGCAGATCTCCAGATCCCAACAGTCTGATGATGACGTCAGAGAAGCAGTTTAACAGAGAAACTGTAAGAAGCATAAAAATTGTCTCTCAAAAGTCATAAAACATTTTTGAAGATGTGTATTATATTAGCATTATTTAGTGAGTTAAGGATATAAATAAATGATTTTAGTAACATTATTACATTGTAGTTATATTTGTGGACATCGGGATGTATATCTTTTTGCGCATGCGCAGGAGGGATTGTGCTTCCAGGACGGATCGCGTAGTGACCCGCATTAGCAAAAGGCTGAAATATTCTTGCACATTGGTTTGTCGCACTGGTCTGTGTGTGCCGCTCATGAGCCCATAGAGGCGTTGTAGCCTTTTATAGTTGACTTGGATGAAGTTGCTGTACTTGCAAAAAACACAAAGGGGCAGTGATCAACATGTTAAATGGAAAGTGCAAAAAACAAGAGAAGAAACAGTCACCGTCCCACTTCAAAATTTGCCGAGCGCAGCAGTTTCTTTAAGAATTTATGATTATTAAACTCATCCATTTATGCCCATTGGAGTCACTGAATGAACAGCAACAACACTGCATTTAACTGCACTGCTCAACTTGACCCTTATGCACCATTTGATGTCAGTAAAGGCATTCTTGTTTGTTGAGAACAACTTTATATTCTCCCATTTGGTATGAGGCTGGCGTGCATGGCCTGCGCCAAGTTACAAAAATTCGGAGGTGCGCAGGCTAGTGCCGAGGCTGCGTGGCAGTCCATGCTCGGGGGCGAAGATGGCATGATTGCATCAGTTTGGCATTCCCACCCTTGCGCAGGTTTTTTTTTCATTTGCGTACCCCATTTACAGGCTTCAGAACACATATGACTGTTACAAAATGGTTTTAAGGTGAACTCTAGATAATGTGGGACCAATAAGACCTACTGCTATTAGGGTAATTTGGTTTCTAAGCATTTACAGGACTTCCAAAAAAGGCAGGAGTTTTGTTTCATTGATGCCACTTAACTTTCCTTTCCTTAAACATCCCACAACAAAGAGGATGCCAGCCAACACCATAGAATCCTGGTTAGATTTAATGAATGAAAAATACTTAGATATTTGATATTTTTAAACAACCATTGGAAAAAGAAAAAAAAAGCTTAATGCAACATATTCATTAGTACTTAATAGTAAACTACAGCTTTGAATAAGTGTTACAAAGAAAATGTCTACTGTAGTTGCTCAAATTGCATAGTTTTTTTCTTATAGGTACTGTATGTGTGTAAGAGAGCAAAAACCTTCCTGATTAAGACTGTCTCAAGGTGGGCCCGGAAGACCCCACCTAGGCTTACTATCACGAAACAGGACAGATGGACCCAGTATTCAAGGTGAGACAGTCAGTAGGAAAGTTCAAAACATTTATTAAAACAAAACAGAACTGAAATGGGCTGCTGTGGATCTGTGGACCTGCAGCGACTGCGGGGAAAGGGGGGTGGGACACCACCCAAAAGCTGACACTCTAGGGAGGGAAAAACACAGGTAAGTGACCACAATCATCTGACAGGAGATGATTATCAGAGTGAGTCACTTACCTGGTTTGACAGTTCACACCATCCTCTTCGAAACAGGTGAGATCCAGCCGATGGGCTGGCGCTATCCAGAGGGTCCCAGATGCTGCAGGAAATAGCTGAGGGAACCAGGAGGAAATGATCTGCGTCAATCAGCTGCCGGGACAATTAGACATTTGACCAGGAGGAAATGAAAACCCCAACCATCAGTGCCAAGACCATTACAGTAGCAGTATTAGCAAAGACCACCATGGAGGCAAAAAAGCTCCTTCTCTTCCTTCTGTGACTCCTTTCTATTTTGACCACAGATCCACTTTGCCTACGTTCCATCTGTGCAATGAAAACAACCATCATCTGCTCAATTTGAGTATTCTGAGAATGGACAATATAGCAAAACAATAAAGAACAATGACTACACACTGTCTCCCTTCAATGATGCTCTCCATTGTTGACTTACTTGATTTTTGTTGCATTGATGACCTCATCAGCATTAACCTGGCATAATGCCATGATCTGACACGCAGTGGTGAAGGACAGTGGCCACGCAGCTTTCTGGCAAGGGGGGCCAGTCTCAACTTTTCGGCCAAATGGGAAAGAAGCCAAATGCAGAATGGTACTGAGTTGATCCGGTTTTGAAAACTCGGGTTGGCTCACTAATTTCTTAGGGAAAGAGGCCGATTACAGACCATTCCTGAGGAGGAATGGTTGAAAATAAAAATCACCCTAAAAAGGTTGGGATATTCTTTCGGACCCAAAATTACCAGCCCAGACATCAAGAAATGGTTATCCATCTCTATTTTGACATTAGGAAAAAGGCAGCTAACTACACTGGCATTTGAGAGTAGCAACAGTTTCATTTCTGTGTAATTCTTTTTTGGTAGAATTATATCTATGTCTTTGCACTTAATGACTTCTAAGTGCTGAAATAAGCAGTTAACCTTATTGGCTCCTGCGTTGATTTCTGACTGCAGTGCAGGTGCTGACATAATTAGAAACAATACAATAACATAAACACATTTATTAAAACCTAAATGTCTTTATTATCCTTCTTGTAATTTTCTAAAACAAATAGCAGAACATGGTAATCTCACTGACATTAACGACAACATATTTCACATTTCCTTGAAAGGTTTTTCTAAAACAGTATCACTATGTGTTTTGACAGGTGGGGCGGGAAAAAAACTCATCTGTGAGCCTCTTTCTGATTGGCCCAGATATGATCACACAGGTACTGTCAAGATTCATCTCTCGTATTATCTAATTTCTGCAACATTTGCAGTTCAGAAGAATTCACAACATTTCTTCCTAAAAAAGCACTAATATTACTTAGTAACATTGCGATATGTGAAGTGAGATCTTGTTTGTATGGGCTAATAAGGAGGAGGCTCAAAGAAGAGGTTTGTCAAAACACATTTTGCCTCCTGAAAGGAGAAAAATCAGGCAGAGGGCAGAGGCCTCTTCAAGAGCACAGTCGCTCATCAATGAGGACAACAGACAGAAACTCCTGCTCAGAAGGAAAAGGAAAACGGAATGGTTTATAAACTACTTATCAAAATAGTTTAACGTACTTGGGAGTATTTAAGGATTGGCCAACAAAGAGTCCAGACCTTAAGCCCATTGAGAATCATTCAGATGTACATTAGGAGCCTTTACACGGCTGTAATACTCTATTGTCATCAATGCAGTTGAAATATTAGTGCAACACTGACCAAAAAAACAATTTGTGAAGCTTATTAAACAATTCCACAAGGAATGCATGCAATAATCAAATATAAAGCCAGTTCAATGAAATATTAGTGGTTGACCTTTTTTTGTTAGAATTCAAGGACATACTTTATTCAGTTTATGCTAATAAACACTGCACACAACTTCAGTAAATTGACCTAAGTTTGACCTTCATAGTAAAAGGTTTTGGTGTCAGCGTGAGTCCAAAGACTGGAGTGTAATCGGGTTCTCCTGCATTCTCTGGCCAGATGAACGTAAATTTCCTCAGCAGGGTAACTGTGATGAGGAAGAGTTCCATACGAGCCAGACCCTCTCCGAGGCACATCCGAGGTCCTGAGGCACAGAAGAAGACCTCAGGGCTTTGTTGTTTTTTCACAAATTACTCTATTGATGTCTGGATGCTATTTCCAGAGGACATTATTGTCTACCTTTTACCTGCAGAGAAAGGCATGAAGGTGTCAGGTTTAACAAATTCTCCTTGTTCATTCAGAAAGTTTTCGGGGTTAAATTCATTAGGAAACTTCCACTTTAATTCCTCTCTTAGTACCGAGTTCAGGTTCTGAACAATCATTGTACCCTGGAGAAAACAGAAAAAACACAACTCAAATGTTCACCTAAAGCTGCCAAAGCTTGTAGTAAACATTTCTCTCACCTTAGGAATGGAGTATCCCATGAGCTCTGTGTCTTTAGTTGTACAGTGAAAAGCGCTTAGAGGAACAGTGTTGGCAATCCTTTGAATTTCATGGATCACAGCCTGCAAAAAAAAAAAGTTTTCCAAACTCTGTTTGAATGCTATAAAACTTGAGTTTACCTGACAGCCCGCTGCATGTTTTTCAAACCACAGTAATACGCTGGAAAGCATAACATCAGTGGTTGCAGCACAGCACCTGCATGTAAGGCATGCTGAGTCTGTCTTCCAAAGTGACCCGATCCTTCCCAGCCAGCACCAGGTCTATCTCTCTATGGCATTTTTCTGAAGGACCAAAGAAAATCAACATCGATAAGATTAGCAATGTTACCCAAGCTTGGCCGTAGTTTTGGATAGCTGTATGTATGTTGTAATCAACATATGTAAATTAAGATCTAACCAGTTAATGGGAAGCCCTACTATGATCCTGCAGGGGGACTGTAAGGAGGTTGTGGTCTGTGCTTTAGTAGGCCAGTATTCACGTTCATTAATCAGTTCATGACAAGTTCCGATGTAGGTGAGTTTGCTCTTGGGTTGAAGCATTTAAAGGCACTGTTCGTGTTTATTACTGCTCTCAACCTGGAGTGGTTAGGGTTAGGATGACCATAGTTTGTTACGGTTTATCTGGGTAAGAGTGTGTGTGGTTTCTCGTCAATGACGCACACTTATAAGGCGACCAGGCACATCTTCCAAGTCTTACCCCCGTCTATCAGCAACATTGGCTACGGCAATGTGATGATGCAATCTCTACACTAGCTATGGTATGCCTTATGGGAAATAAGTAACGCTGAACAAAAATCACAGAATACAAACGGTAAACCTCAACATCTAACTTAAACTACTTCAAGGTCTTTTGAACATCCGGTAAAAAGAAGGCCTCACATCGAATCTACAAATGTTAAGTATACAATAGTGCATCTTGAATAATTTTTTCTTTGCCTACATCTGTCCCATTCTTCTGTTATTGTAAAACTAGGAGCCTTAGAAGGTCTTTGAGAAGGATTTTTTGGACTGATACACACCAGCAGTTGTTTTCCTAAACTCATTGCTGATTAATTTACACCTTTATATTGTGGTAGCACACAGCTGTATGTTGTTACCAACCCCCCCCCCCCCCCCCAACCCCGAATACATTTTAGTTTGAGTACTGTTACACGACTAAAAATAATGTTAAGTCCACAATTAACTTTGCACCTTAAATTATTTATACTATTCCATTGTAAGAACATATTTCTTTTTTTGCTGTGGTGTTTTGCAGGTCGAATCTACCGGACTCAATTACCAAGGTGAGATTAGAAAATCTACCTTGTATGTGTGGGAAGTTCATGAGGTAGAGAAACCCAGTAAGGAGGGTGTTGGAGGTGGTGTCAGTCCCCGCAACAAAAAGGTCAAAAGTGATTCTTGTTAGCTGCTCCTCAGAAAACGTAGAACCATGGTGTCTCTAAACAAAGAGAATATTTCAAGACAAGCACAAACCATGTTTAAACTCTAAACAGTATCACCTTTTGCATAACTTAACACACTTTATCCTTGATGGAAGAAAGGGTTGTCGTTTCAAGCCCTGGCTATGGCTTTTAGTGACGTTGTGTCCTTGGGCAAGACACTCCACCTGTATTGCCTACTGATGTTGGACAGAAGGCTTGGGGCGACTGCATATGGGGGCCTTGCTTTTGTTAGTGAGCCCCAAGGCAGCAGCCTGGAATGCTGTGAATGACTGAATGTACTTTGGTCATATACATATTTGGTCAGAAGCACTATGTAAGTAATTTCCATTTACCTTTTTTATTTAAATTTTTTTCCCCCCCCAATTTTCTATTTTAAAATTGAACTTAAATTTGTTTTTTCCTTTTCCATTTACAATATGTTTCCATTGCTTGCAAGAATAATGAAGCAAAATTTACTCCACATTTTCTAACAATAATTGTTTGTTGTGTTTACGTACATTTTCCAGTTCATCCAGGTAGCAGTCGACAAAATCCCTTGGCTCTCCTGGGACTCTAGTTTTTTTGTGTTCATTTATCAAACGTCTCGAAAAACTTAGGAAAATCTAAAATATAAAGAAAGTATTAATAAACTTTTTTCTAACAGATGTTATGTTGCTGGATTTACTCCATGTTTACCTCCATGTTTTCAAAGGCTTTGTTGAAGGGCAGCGGCATGTGACGAATTAAAGGGATAGAGTCATACAGCTGTTGAAAATAGGTGCCTTATTAGATCAAACGACTTAAGTTTTAGAATTACTGGTCTCAGAATCTGACTTTTTACACACATGTCACATTATACTTGTGGGGACTTTCCAATGACTTCCATTCATATTGAATTAATTTCTATGGCCTAATGCTGACAATTGCCTTAGCCATTACCAACAAATGCCTAATGCTAAACTTAACCCGCACCCTGAGAGGAGATCTTCTTGTGCAAACCGATCCTTGTTCCCTAGTACATATAAGTCCCCAGAATGGAGCATATGTCCAAAAAATAATAGTAAAAAATATACAACCATACACACACCCATTTAAATTTATCTTAGGACTTTTTGTGATATTTGTAGATATCTGTTAAATGATTTCCATTAAGGTTAATGATCTACTAATTTAAAATATCAGAAATCTTTTAAAGTTAATGCATTCTTGCATCTCTTACTGATCCATATATAGGATTTTATTTATAATGCGGCATTAAGAAAAAAAAATTATGCTTTTCTTTAGTAGACCCAGAGAATATAGCCAAAGCTAAAAGAAAGATGGATTGAGCTACATACATAAAAATCCTGCAAAAAAATCCATAAAATCTAGCAGTCTCACTATCCTAAGCTTCGGTGGGCGAGGGCTACAAACAGTTAGCAAATAGAAATAGTGCTGCAAGCACAAAAATTTAGCTAATACAGAACTAAAAATACATGTAAATGAAAAATACTGGAATGAAGCAGTACTGCAATCCCAGAAAACAGCAAACACAGATTTACTGCATACATGAAATTTGAAGCAAATACATAAATGATGCCAATACACTAAACACATGCAAAGGGAATATTCTCCATGTAGAACAAGAAAAAAGATCAAAAATAAAAACAAAAACCCTAAACTAGCTCCATATAACTGAAGTTTTCTTTTCTCTGAACCTTCAGAAACCCAAGATACCCGGTTGAGTATCTTGAGTTTCTTACACCCCTCAGCCACCATGATAAACAATAACCGGATCTAGAATGGAATGGTTGAGATGAAAGCATATTCCTGTGCTACAATGGTATGGTCAAAGTAACAAAAATAAATGTGGCAAAAGAAAAAAAATCCAAGGCATGTCTTGAAAGTCAGTCAGAGAGACTGCATCCAGTCTGATTGGGCGGAATTTGTCATTATTTGTATAGAACTGGTTGAGGCCCTAAAACAACTTCCAGGTGCAAAAGCAGTAAAAAATGTTTTTACCAAGTAATGACTCAGGGACTGAATGCATATGCCTAAGAAGAAATTTTGCTTCTCCTCCATCCACTGTTGTTGAAATATCACATTTACTCTTTCAAGGCTGTCTTTATGCTGAAATACATGCATATATTTATAGAAATCTATTAAAAAGTGATGTTAAAATATTTTAGGATTGGAAATTATCTGTCATCTTCTTCATAGGGATTTGACATGACATAGCTGGTAGTTCCAGAATAGAAAGGATTAAGACTGCACATGTTTGAACAACGTGTATTTTAAATCAAAACACTGAAATTGCATTATTACAGTTTTATGACAGGTCCATCTAATTTTCTGTAACCCATATTAAAATTCAGATTATGACAAGGGTTCCCCTAGGTAAAACATTATACAATACAGTTAATGCTATTAGATTTCAAACGTTTATTTTATACAGTATTTAATTGCTTTATTACTCTGCCTTTTTTGTCAAGTAGCATTGTATTAAATTATGTCGTAACTTACCATTGCCCATGGACCGTTGGCTATTTTAGTCATTTCAGCAAAACATCTAACAATGAGTTTTATTGTCTCATCGTCATACCCATAGCGCACTCCAAACAGAACCTGACAGATGATGTTGAAGGCAGCGTTATGAAACATGACCTGAGGACTCAGAGTTTTACCTGGAAAGACATGATGTTAAGTAAAACTGGTGGCAAACAACATAGTTCCAAACAAACAGTTCCATCACAGACTATTTAAATTGTCCTGTTTAAATGAATTATACAGACTTTGCTAGCCAAATTGATAAAGTTGAATTTAAATGACTGCTCTCTGTCTATATTCTATATATATAACTCTCTATACATTTCTCTATACATCTTTAAAATCTCTCTCTAATGTATTAACCAATGGAGGCCTGGATTTGGAGTCACACAAAAAATTTAAATGGAAAAACAGACTACAGGCTGTTCAACATGTGATGTAATGTCCTTAAAACAGGTCAAAAGACACAAGCTTGGAGGGACAAAAAGTTATTTAAAATGGACCCAAAAACATTTATTATACATTATTTATTAACAAATGTATTATAAATAAATTTTTTGTAAGGGGAAAATTTTCATAAAACTACAAAGTTGATAACTATTGTTAATTTTATGTTTTAGTATCATATGACCATGCATATGGAAGAGTGTAGGACACAGTCACAAGTGCATTTAAAGGCTGTCACAAAGCTTCCCCGATAACACAATATGATACAGAATTAGAAAAGAAAAAAAATGTGTGTTGAAATACATGGAATTTTAAACAATAAAAGCCGTACCATTGTTATTTTCCAGTGTCTTAATTGTGTGTTGAATCTCGTCAAGGATTCTGTCTTCCATTGACTTCTTTCCCAGGCCAAAGTTCCTGAGGGTCATTAGGACAAAGCGACGATGCTCCCTCCACATAGGGCCATAGTCAGCCATAATCACCCCTACAATAGAGAGTCCAACTAAAAATAAAAACTCTTTAAATAAAATATAGTGAATTGAATAAAAGTGATTTACAGTAATTGCAAAGATTTACATGAATAAATGTTATGTTAAAATAATTACATAAATCAGTCACAGTTTGAGCTAAATAAATAAAAGCGGAGCGAGCCCATTTGATACTAGTCAGTTGGGAATTGAAGAAATCGAAGGTTCATAGACTGAATTTTCCTCTCAGTAGGTGTGTTTCATTTAACCACTAAATTGTGAAAATAAGTTTGCTAAATGTTAACGCTGCAATTTTGAAAAAAAATAAATTAAAAGAAAAATCTTATTCTTTAATGGGGTGGTCTTTCGGTCCTGTAGAAATTCTTAGATTTTGCAAAAAAGCAATGGAAGCACTTTTTTCCCCGCATCACAAGAGTCATGTTATCTGCAGCTGGAACTTACTGCCTTGTAAAAAAGCAAAGAAGACCAAAGGTAGTTAGAAGATGGAGCCGTGGCTGAAACACAGATACATTTTATGTGTTCATAGCAGAAGCCCCCATGCTGTTTCCAGAGTTATCGAGTGTACAAACTTATTCATGTGTCATTTTAATTGCGTTTGTTCTTACCCCTGCCAATGAGTATGTTTTTAGGAGAGTTAATGTGTTTATTTGTTTGTTTGTAAGTTTGTTAGATATTCTCTAACATTGTGAGCTTTACAATGGTGGAACAAGCAGTTCCTATCTAAACCAGAGGGTGGCAGCAGTGACTATTGACAGCCTCTGTCATTATCTTGGCACTGATGACTGGCTTAATTATTCATTCCATTCACCTGTCTAACTCTGCCCAGTTTCTATCTGTTTGCCTGACCTGGCTTTGAACTCCTGGACCTCTGAGCTTGCTTGTTCCTGTTCTGATCTGTTTGCCTGACCTGGCTCTGCACTTTTGCATGTTCTCCGGGGCTGCAGCATGTGGGACAGTCTGGGCAGCGCCTGCCACATGTTATTGGCTGCCCTACGGCTGGATCCTAACGTTTTCTCTGGCTATGGACTGATCTTGTAAACCACGTTAGCAGACATCCCAAGTCTCCCGGAAGTTCCCAGGAGTCTCCCTGATATAGTTGTTCACTCATGCCTGAAAGTCGGATAAATTATCCCGGATTTTAGACTATGTGAGGTGGTGTTTTTTAATGCGAGTGATAGCGGGCAGTATGATAACTCAATCACCATGTGCGGATTAGAACTACTGCGATTACAGACAACAAGAGAGAGCAAAGTTGGGAGGAGGTTGATGGTGAAACCTGTGCGAATCTGTCCAAAGCGATGCTCTGTTCAGTGATCATTCAAGGTGACTGGTTGTCAGAGTGCTGATTGGATCAGTCTAATAACTTTACGCTCTGCATCCTCTGAAACGGCAGAGGTTGAATCCTCGAGTAAAAAACGAAAATATAAGACTAATTTTACAGCAGAATATAGTTAAGTATATCCACGTCTAGTGAAGGTGAGAAACAGTGGCAGATCTAGACCAAATTTACCAGGGGGCCAGGAGGGGGCTAGCGTGTTTTGATGGGAACACAGAAAAGCATGAAATAAAAAACAGGGCAAGGGATTCAAATATATTAAGAGAGCCGCATGAAGTAAAATTTCTATTCACTTAGGTTAAATAAAAATTCAATTTCTTATGAGGTCAATATACATTTATAATTTAGGAATTTTAAATTCTTTTGATTAAATTTAAGTTAAAACTACCATTTTCTATAAAATTTGAATTAGAACTTAAGAAAAACTGTAAAATTCATCTGTAAAAATTAGAGCATTGTTTTTATTTGTTGTGAAAAAAAAGAAACATTTGGCAGATGAAAACTGGGATCCTATCTTAATACCACCGAAGCTATCACCTTATTGTTTTTGAATAATTAATAAAATAGACTTTTTAAAGAAAAATAATTAAATAGATCCAAAGGACCTATCAGTAACCATGTGTGTTCCAGCGCAGATCATCATTACAATTTCTGGCCCCTGTTGGCCCCTTTCTAGAACCATGGTGATGAATGATGACACCGTGGCGAGGTGCACTGTATGTGGAAGTCCCATAAAAAACAAAAAGCACAACTGATGTTCAAGGCTACAAGATTGAAAATAAAAGAGCTATACTGTTCTGTTTTGTGTTTAAGAATTTACTGTTAGTCATTAATAGACAGTTGTTGAAAAGTTGCTGGCCTTAAGTGTGTATGTATGGGGCACGGTGCGGGTCCGTTGTACCTGGGGTGTGTGTGTGTTTGGGGTGGGGGTGTACGATAAGTGTCTATTAAAAAGGACATTTTTGATTTTCTACCTAACTCACAAACGCACTGGGTTCTGCCTGGGTGAAAGGGAGCTTCATTGCTCTTTTTTCCTCAATGGTTGCTAATAACTATGAAAAAACAGTGATCAGTTTCATTTCATATACATTAATATGAATTGGTTTCTTTGCAAGGACCTTTAATGGTTGAATGTGAGCTTGCAGAGGTCAAAACATGAGGTGGAACCTTGTACACAGCTTTGTGATTTATATAGGTAAAATGTTTGCTAGTGTGTGTGCTCAGGGTTTTATATAAACCTGCTTTTTTGGTATACACTAATTTTAACCTTTGTTATATAAACCATTTTATTGTAGATCCTAAATAATTCAGAGCTGAATTATTCCGTTAAAAAAAACAAAACAGAATCTGACTTGACTGATGCTCTCAAATGGAAAAGCATTACAATTACTACGGTTCATTGTTGAAAAACGATGGAATGATGTTACTGAATTTGAATCTCACAACCTTTCTCTAAACACATACTCTACCTTTTCTCTGTGTGACATCATTTATAAAAAGGTCTTGGGGTCTTCCAGCAAAATCAGTTGATTTAATCACAATGGCCTCCTTCATTGCCTTAAACCCATTGATGATAACAGCTGGTTTTCTACCAATGAACAGACTGTTGACATTTCCGTATGATTCCCTCAGCTGTAAGACAACAGTAAAAAAATTATTTTGATTAGAATGATCAGAGCAGAGGAGAGTATTTTACCCAACTGTTACATACTGTATATACACACATATACAATGTTATATCTATATACACAAATACTGTAGATTCCCTTTTGTTAAAAGTTTTTTGGCCTCAATTGCTGATACTAAATTGAGATACTAAGACTTCCTGCACAAAAACGGAAGGATGCATTTCTGGAGCAACTCTGGTAAGTGTAATGTATATAAATGTTATGCTTTATGCCCTGTTTTATCTGCTAGTTAAACGCATATCCAATCTGAACAGCTCCTAATGATATAAATGTGGCAGAGGTGTGGTTATAGAGTAGAGGATTCCCTTTGTCTCTACTGGGTTTCTTGCTTAATTGATTTCTGTATTCAGCCTCACACTAATCTACTCTTGGTTATACCTGAGCTTATTACATTTCATATTTGAATTCTAGTGGTGGTTTCTTTTATGAAAAAGTAAAAGTGGTGATATTAAGAAGTAGAAATTGAGGGGTGCCCACTGATTTTAGATGTTGTCACTTATTAAAATTCCATTGAATTGATCAAATGCTATTAGACCTACTAAGAACACCTACATAAAAAAGATCTATCTAAATATAATTAAAGATTAAAATTTTTATGAGATTTTTTTTAACAATCCCATTGATGTAAATTCACATGCGTTTGTGTGTAAAGGTGTAGTTCCTCAGCTGCGCCCGCTGTGCATTCCCTCTTTTCACAGCTCAGCATATCAGCATAATTATTTCCTCAGTTAATCCAGACCTACTAGCTTACTTTCACTCCTTAATAAATTATATTATTGCTCATTAGTCTGGAGTCCAGGTGAAATTCTGAGTCCTAAGAGCCCAATTAGTTAAAATAGATTTTTTTAACCTTCAAAATCAATAGAATGAATAACATATGGATGCTTTTCTTACCCTCTCAAAGTCCTTCAAAGGATTCTCTAAATTCAAAAACAAAAGGCTTCCAAATATAGGCAGACTGAGGGGTCCCGGTGGGAAATTCTTAGGTCTCCAAGGTTTAAGTTGAAGCAGAAGGAAGCAGAGGCAGAGAGCCACAAGAAATAGCGAAACAAACATGGTAGATCTGAATGGATCAACCTGAAAAGCAAACTACTCAAGTTTTTATGAAAGAACAGCTTGGCTCTCAGTACGGCTGCTTTGGTTGTGAACTTTTAGTCTTTGTATTTAGAGCGAGAGAGAAAATCAAACATGAATGAAGGATTGTTCACAGAAACAGGTGGTGAGATGAAGCACAGCTTATCTCCATCAGTGGCTGAATACCAGACTTTCATGAACTGTAATCATCTGAAACTTGTGATAAAGCTGAGAAACTTCAAAAACCTAAAGGACAGTGAATTTATTATTTTCTCCACTTACAGTAAATAAATCAAAAAGAAAAAAAAGTAGTTTAAATTATTGTGAAGCAGTTTTTCAAAATAATCTAAACTTTTTATTTTTTTATTTATTTACTGGCACTTGTAAAACACATTTTGACTCAATTTAAAAGAAGTTTTTTTTTTCTTAATTTTCTTTATTTGCTGAACTAGGTTCAAAATCATTCTCTAATGAAAGGCTTTAATTATTAATACAATATCATCTTGAGTTTGAATTTACAGACAACTTAATGACATAAAGATTCCACAGAAGTTAGCAACAGCGGTCTTAAAAATATATATTTGATCGTAATGGTGGTTCAAAATGACATCAGTGACATGACATCCCCCCCCAACCCCCCCCCCCCCAAAGTATCTCCTTCTTATTCCGAAGTTGTTTCTCCTCATTGCTCTGACCGCAGTTGGACCTTCATATGGTAGGGTTTGGGTGTCAAAGTGACTCCATAAACTGGTGTAAAGTCTGGTTCCCCTGCATCCTCTGGCCAGATGAACTTAAACTTCTTCAGCAGAGTCACCATAATAAGGAAAAGCTCCATACGAGCTAGACCCTCTCCGAGACACATCCTTGGACCTGGGACACAAAATCTGTTAATCGAAGCAATGGTAGAGGCTGGTTACCTCATCCATTCTGCATGCGTTTACCTGCAGAGAAGGGCATGAAAGCCTCAGGTTTGACAAACTCTCCCTGTTCATTTAAGAAGTTTTCAGGGTTAAATTCATGAGGAAATTTCCACTGTCCTTCTTCCCTCAGTACTGAGTTCAAGTTCTGGATGATCATTGTACCCTGAAGAGAAAAAAAAAAAAAATATCAAATTAAGATTCCCTATGGATAACAAAAAATAATCAAGAACCTCTGCTCTCAAACCTTGGGAATGGAGTATCCCATGAGCTCTGTGTCTTTAGTTGTACAGTGAAAAACACTGAGAGGAACTGTGTTGGCAATCCTCTGAATTTCATGGATCACAGCCTGGATGAGGAAAAATTTCATACAATTAATCTGACTTGAAGGATAAAATGTGTCTTGGAGATTTTAACTATTACATTAAATTAATTTGAAAGTAAAAAGACTGTATCTGTATAAATGTAATACTATTGAACAATAAAGGGGTACATGCAAAGTGAAACACAGAAGAAAAAACTATTTGCAGGTAATCATATTTTAATGTGATGATACCTGGACATAAGGCATGTTGTTTCTGTCCTCATAAGTGACCCGATCTTTTCCCTCCAGGACCTGGTCTATCTCTAGCTGACATCGTTCTGAAAAGAGTAAAATGCCAAAGATTATAAGACTTTTTACCTCCCTAATTCTCTTTTCTTTAGGGGAATGTAGGTCAGCTGGCTGCTTGGTGTTTGCTAATTTCTTTGCTCAGCAGTGAACCAGCATGTGGATGGTGTGCTTTAAGGATAGACTTGCTTTTCTCTGGTGGCCAGCTTATGCAGGATCTAAGGATCAAGGCCCTGGACTGACCTAGATCTGTACTGTGCTCTTTCAATGGGTCTCTATTCACATCAGAAATTTCTGAAGGCAACTAGGTTTGCTTGGAAAAACCTCCTGCTCTGTTTTTATGCATTACGTATTTCTGTACAATGTTTAGTCTGTTAGAGCACATGTATATGTATAGCCTATGTTTATCTGCACAACTATAAAGTTATCAATGGATAGTTTTGTGTCTCATTTAAAATTGCATTTGAATTTTTTTGTTTTTAGGCTTCATCTCTACTCTTCTCCTTATGTCATGTTTTCCTCCTTTATAACTTTCCCAAGAAAAGCCTTTAAAACTATCCCAAGAAAAGCTTTTATAACTATCCCATGAAAAGCAGACAAAAAAGCAGGGGTGCTGCTTTTTTGTCTGCTTTTCTTGTCTGTAATCTGTAAAAGAGGGAAAAACAGCTGATTTGCTCTAACTGAACAGAAAGACAAAATCGTAACCTAAACATACGTTGAACATGTGGGTAGTTCATCAGGTAAAGAAATCCTGTAAGCAGGGTGTTGGAGGTAGTGTCAGTCCCAGCAAAATGAAGATCTAGGCTGTACGTTATGAGCTGTTCTTCTGAAAAGGAAGAAGCATCATCGCCTCTCTGAAAAGAGAACATCTTAGGATTACTAGCTCATTTTAACTGATTACACTAAGGCAAAAAATCCATAAACAACTTTATTGCAAGCACTACTAGAGGTGAAGAACACAGTCCTCCTCATTTAAGCTGGAATTTGAGCAAAAGGGTCTTACCTAAAAGTCTGAATAAAAAACAATTCTAGCAGGTCTAACATGTGAGACAACTTTTGACATTTTGCAAACCTTTTCCAGTTCATCCAGATAACAGTCAACAAAGTGTCGAGGCTCCCCAGGTACTCTGGTCTTCTTGAACTCATTCACCAAGCGGAAAACATGGTTTTCACAAATCTAGGGAAAATAATTTGTATACACTCAACAAAAATATAAACACAACACTTTTGGGTTTGCTCTCCTCTTCTATGCAATGAACTCAAAGATCTAAAACTTTTTCCACATACACAATATAACCATTTCCCTCATATATAGTTCACAAACTAGTCTAAATCTGTAATAGTGAGCACTTCTCCTTTGCTGAGATAATACCTCCCACTTCACAGGTGTGCCATACCAAGATTCTGATTAGACGCTATGATTAGTGGACAGGTGTGCCTTAGATTGCCCTCATTGATCAGGTTGTCAATTTTGGCCTTTGGAATGTTGGTCCACTCCTCTTCAATGGCTGTGCGAAGTTACTGGATATTGTCAGGAACTGGAACATGCTTTCATATTTACTGATCAAGAGGATCCCAAACATGCTCAATGGGTGACAAGTCCGGTGAGTATGCCAGCCTTGCAGTCTGTGATGCTATCAGCTAACAAGAATTGTGAACATTGTGACTGTTCTCCCTGCTGCCCTCTGGAAAGAGGTTCCGCAGCATCCGCTGCAGATCCACCAGGTTGTGCAACAGCTTCTTCCCCACTGCCATCAGACTGTTGAACCTTTGATCCACAATCCGAACTCTGCACCTATTGCACATTATCGGGCATCAAATGCTGCTGAACTTTTAACTTTTAGCCCTTTAAATTGTTAATCTCATTGTATTTTTCAATAACGCATTTTTTGCACAAATGCCATTTTGCACTGAACCACTGCAACTTGCACACTGTCTCTTATCCTCTGCACTGTTCACACTTTGACCACTGCTGCACTTTTTGTATTTTTCTATAACTCGTGCCATTTGAAACATCAATGCAACGTTCATAAGCTGTATGTAACGCAATTTCGTTCTGTATGCACCCTGTGCATACAAAATGACAAATAAAGAAGTCTAAGTCTAAGTCTAAGAACAGATCCTTGCAACATGGGACCATGCATTGTACTGCTGCAACATGAGGTTATGCTCTTAGAGGTATGGCACAAGAATGGGTCTCAGGATCTTGTCACGGTATCTCTGTGCATTCAAAATTCCATCTATAAAATGCACCGCCACACTGTCTGCCATCATTCCTTAACAGTGTAAACTGGGATTCATCTGTGAAGAGAACATCTCTGCAATGTGCCACACACCAGCGAATTTGAGCATTTTCCCACTCAGGTTGGTTAGGACGACGAACTGCAGTCAGCGGGAGACCCCAATGAGGGTGCCAAGCATGCAAATGAGCTTCCCTTGGACGATTTCTGACAGTTGTGCAGAAATTCTTTGGTTATGCAAATCAATTGTTTCAGCAGCTGTCTGAGTGACTGGTCTCAGATGATCTTGGAGCTGAACATGCTGGATGTGGACGTCCTGGGCTGGTGTGGATACATGTGGTCTGCGGTTGTGAGGCTGGTTGGATGTACAGCCAAATTCTCTGAAATGCCTTTGGAGACAGATCATGCTAGAGAAATGAACATTCAATACAAGAGCAACAGTAATACCAATTGTACGTTTCAGAGTGGCCTTTTATGGTGGGCAGTCAAAGGCAAACCTGTGAAGAGGGTTGGATTATCTCAGCAAAGGAGAAGTGCCTACTTTCACAGATTTAGTCTGGTTTGCGAAAAGAATTGTGTATGTGGAAAAGTTTTAGATCTTCAAGTTCATCTAATTAAAAACCAAAAGTGTTTCGTTTATATTTTTGTTGAGTGTATAAGGATTTTTGTAAATTAAAGTACATAAAGTAATGGCCAAACATTTTCAGTCAGCAAACGTCATGTACAAACTTCATGCATTTGGTTTCTGAGCTGACAGTTTACATAGTTTAAGATATTGAATGATTAGATACAGATTTAGTCAACTTTTAGAAAGATTCCAAATAGTCCTACAAAATATCTTAAATTGATGAGAAAAACCAAAACAAATATACATGAACATGTGTGAATACATTATTTATTTATTTGTTGGAAAAATATAGCCTTTACCTCTGCATTTTTAAAGGCTTTTCTGAATGGCAGTGGAAGGTTTCGGCTAATAGGAAGGGAATCATATATCTGTAAAGAAAAGGAAATAATTACTTTTATAAAGCAAAAGGCATACCTTGATTTAGGACGTGTTCTAAGATATCTTTTTATCTTATTATTTAATAAATACATAGAAAAGTCAGTGTTATGTAAACATCAATTAAAACTCATAAGAGTCCTTGAGTGCCTCGCTCAGCTCCCTAAAATGAGATTATTTTCTGCTGACCTTTGCTAAAGTTGCTGTTACATAGTTCAGGTTTGTCAAAGCAGAGACAGATCTGAAAGCTGCACTGTGACTCAGTGGAAGAAAGAGGTGTTTCTTTTTGCAATCTGAAAGTTTGGGATTAGATTCTGTCTTTCTGGTGACATGTAGGTGTACCCCTGAACAAGCAGCAGACAGCTTTACAGTCTGCATTTTGGTGTGTGATTGGTGTGTGATTGTGAGTTGTGGTTCAAGTGGCTCAAGGTGTCAAGAAAACAAATGCTAAACAAATTTAGTCTATTAACTTTTTAATATTATAAAGGCTGTCCTGAAGCTGGAACCATTCAAATGATATACAGACATAAATATGCTGGTATTTCTATGCCAAAAGAGGAAGCTGTAAGTAACTAACAACCTTTTTTTTAATTTAATGTTGATAAGAAAACTTTTCAGGGTTTGTTTTTGATTGCTTTAAGTGGAAAAAAATAAGTGGTGGTACTTCTGTAATGATCTTGGTTCTGTTGTTTTTCTTTAAGTTTTCTGTTTCAAGTTTAGCCAGGTTTTTCATTGATTTCTAGCTTTTTTGGTGTGTCTGGATTCATTTAAGTTGCTTAGGTTTTTCTGTCTGTCCCCTGCTGCCTCCTTGTGTTCTTTTCCCTTGGCTTCCTCGTCAGCTCTAATCACACCTGTTCCCTATCAGCTCATTACCTCTACCTTTGTTCAGTCAGCCATAAATACACTCCCTCTGCAGTCCCTCTTTGCTGGTTCCTCGTCTTTACCTTTCCTCACCCTGGCTCCTTGTTGGTTTTTCCCTGATGTCTCCATGGTTCTGGTTAGTGTTTGATTTTTATGTTGGATTTTTGGATTCCTGTTTTTGTTAAACATTTTTTAAGTTGGATTTTTGGATTCCTGTTTTTGTTTACCATTTTTTAAGTTGGATTTTTGGATACCTGTTTTTGTTGCCTTATCTTGCAATAAACCCTCCAAGAATTCACCTCTGCCTCCCAGCTTCTGCGTTTGGGTCCAATCTAAACCTTTTAACCAAATCGTGACAGAAGGAACCAGCCAACAATGGACCCAGCAGAACACGGCCCGGACGCCCCCAGGAGAATTTCCATTATTCTCAGGAATGCTCTGGACTCCATTGCCGCTCTCAGTCCGCCTTGGAAGAGGGTGAGTGCGGCTGACCAGTTGAAGCCAGTATTCCTCTCTAACTCCTCACTTCTATCACCCCCAGTTTTATCTGAGCTATTCGAGGAGTTGGAGTGGAACCGCCAAGCCGCCTCCGCCCAACTCTGCAATAGACCTCCACCACCCAAACCATCACTCCATCACCTTCCCACTCTGCTGTCTCTCACCTCCGATCCTGTTCCCCCACCATTACCAGCTGTGGGTCCTCCCCTGCCATCTGCTTCCTCCAGGCGCAAGCAACGCCGCCGGGGGAGGAAGACAACCACCTCTCCGGAGCGTCAGCCTGACTCCTCCTCTCCCTCTCCGGAGGGTCAGCCTGACTCCTTTTTCAGTCCCTCTCTTAACCTGGTTAGTTTCCCCTATGGCTTTAGTCGTCACCTCCATGACAAACAGCTAGCTTCTCGGGTTGGTAGGTTTAGACCTGCTTTCATAACTTCACCCCCCACAGTCAGAGCTCCCCATATACCAGAGTCAGATCTCTGGGGTTTCTTTTATGGGGAGAGGGAAGATCTTTTCCCTTTTCTGCCATCTCCATCAGCTCCTAGCAGTCCAGTTTCCCTAGCACCAGAGGCCGTTAGCAGGCTAGTTAGCCCAGCACCAGAGGCCGTTAGCAGGCTAGTTAGCCCAGCACCAGAGGCCGTTAGCAGGCTAGTTAGCCCAGCACCAGAGGCCGTTAGCAGGCTAGTTAGCCCAGCACCAGAGGCCGTTAGCAGGCTAGTTAGCCCAGCACCAGAGACCCCTGAGCCCGCTCTGTGCCCTCTGGAGACCCCTGAGCCCGCTCTGTGCCCTCTGGAGACCCCTGAGCCCGCTCTGTGCCCTCTGGAGACCCCTGAGCCCGCTCTGTGCCCTCTGGAGACCCCTGAGCCCGCTCTGTGCCCTCTGGAGACCCCTGAGCACACTTTCAAAGAGGCTTCAGACTTTGGGGTTTGTGGGAGTACGCCTCCAAGAGCCCCTCAGCGGGAGCTCCAAGCCTCCAAGAGCCCTCTGCGGGCGCTCCAAGCCCTCTCTGAGGCTGTTCCTGAACCACAGTCGGCGGCCCCCTCAGAACCTGATCCGGAACTGCGGTCGGCGGTCACCTCTGGGTCTGCTCCTTTGCCGCAGTGGGCGGCCCCTTCGGAGGCTGTACCTGGGCTGCACTGGGCGGCCCCGCCTGAGTCTGTTCCTGATGCGGGGCCACAGTCGGCGGTCTCCTCTGGGTCTGCTCCTGAGCCGCAGTGGGCGGCCTCGTCTGATCCTGTTCCTGAGCCGCAGTGGGCGGCCTCATCTGATCCTGTTCCTGAGCCGCAGTGGGCGGCCCAGTCTGATCCTGTTCCTGAGCCGCAGTGGGCGGCCCAGTCTGATCCTGTTCCTGAGCCGCAGTGGGCGGCCCAGTCTGATCCTGTTCCTGAGCCGCAGTGGGCGGCCCAGTCTGATCCTGTTCCTGAGCCGCAGTGGGCGGCCCAGTCTGATCCTGTTCCAGAGCCGCAGTGGGCGGCCCCTTCCGAGGCTGTTCCAGAGCCGCAGTGGGCGGCCCCTTCCGAGGCTGTTCCAGAGCCGCAGTGGGCGGCCCCTTCCGAGGCTGTTCCAGAGCCGCAGTGGGCGGCCCCTTCCGAGGCTGTTCCAGAGCCGCAGTGGGCGGCCCCTTCCGAGGCTGTTCCAGAGCCGCAGTCGACGGCCCCTTCCGAGGCTGTTCCAGAGCCGCAGTCGACGGCTCCCTCTGAGCCTGTTCCAGAGCCGCAGTCGACGGCTCCCTCTGAGCCTGTTGCAGAGCCGCAGTCGACGGCTCCCTCTGAGCCTGTTGCAGAGCAACAGAAGCGGAGGCGGCGTCCTCCTCGGCGCATCCTGCGGAGGCGGCGTCCTCCTCCTAGGTTTCTGCTGCATTGGAGACGCCGGCCTCCAGAGCGTCTCTCTCAGCCCCGGCCCCGCGGCCGGCCTCCAGGGCGTCTCTCTCAGCCCCGGCCCCGCGGCTGGCCTCCAGAGACTCTGCCTCGCCTCCGGCCCCGCGGCCGCCCTCCAGAGACTCTGCCTCGCCTCCGGCCCCGCGGCCGCCCTCCAGAGACTCTGCCTCGCCTCCGGCCCCGCGGCCGCCCTCCAGAGACTCTGCCTCGCCTCCGGCCCCGCGGCCGGCCTTTCAGAGACTTTCGATTGTCCTCGCCCACTCTGGATGGGTTGCGCTTTGTTTCTTGGACTGTTTTTGGCTTCTTGCCCCCCTTCCTGGTTCCCCCTCCGCCCACCCTGGGTTGTTTTTTTTTTTTTTGCTTTTTGGACATTAAAGGGGCGTCTGGAATCCGCCCTTGAGTGGGGGGCTCTGTAATGATCTTGGTTCTGTTGTTTTTCTTTAAGTTTTCTGTTTCAAGTTTAGCCAGGTTTTTCATTGATTTCTAGCTTTTTTGGTGTGTCTGGATTCATTTAAGTTGCTTAGGTTTTTCTGTCTGTCCCCTGCTGCCTCCTTGTGTTCTTTTCCCTTGGCTTCCTCGTCAGCTCTAATCACACCTGTTCCCTATCAGCTCATTACCTCTACCTTTGTTCAGTCAGCCATAAATACACTCCCTCTGCAGTCCCTCTTTGCTGGTTCCTCGTCTTTACCTTTCCTCACCCTGGCTCCTTGTTGGTTTTTCCCTGATGTCTCCATGGTTCTGGTTAGTGTTTGATTTTTATGTTGGATTTTTGGATTCCTGTTTTTGTTAAACATTTTTTAAGTTGGATTTTTGGATTCCTGTTTTTGTTTACCATTTTTTAAGTTGGATTTTTGGATACCTGTTTTTGTTGCCTTATCTTGCAATAAACCCTCCAAGAATTCACCTCTGCCTCCCAGCTTCTGCGTTTGGGTCCAATCTAAACCTTTTAACCAAATCGTGACAACTTCCCTTTAATGGAGGAGTACCACAGCTTGCATTTAATGGTCCCCTTAATATGCAAGAAAAACATCGATAATATTTGTACACACATCTATCTATTGATCTTTATATCTAATTAAAAAGCACAATATACAGATTCTAAATCAAATCTATATGAGCCAAAGTAGTGTCATCATCTCGCTTTTATTACCTTCAAGCCTTGTGCTATTGTGGAAATATAAGAAAATAAAGATATCAAATAAAAGATCTTTAAAAACAAGGAAATAATGTGCCCTTGAGACACAATATGGGTCAGAATACTGTGTAACGGCTGTACACTGATGGGTAACATTTAGAAATGGTGGTTTTGCATAAATTTGTATAACTTACTTAAAGGACTGATTAGGAGGAAGATTATGAGAAGGATTGTATGAGCAAACCCATGGAAGTATTTAACTCTACAGAAACTGGGTCAAGACTTGAATGTAAGCTTCAAGCTTCATGTATGTAAAACTCTCCAAAGTAATGACTCCAACTCTGATGATCCCTCTATCCTAAGGATGGATTCAAATGGGAGCCAGGGGAAGCGTTAAGATCCCTCTCTCTAGCTACTCACCATGGCCCATGCTCCATTCGCTATCTTTGAATTTTCAGTGAAGCACTGAACAATCACTTTGATCATGTCATCATCGTACTCGAAGCGTGTTCCAAAAAGAACCTGGCAGATGATGTTGGAGGCTGCATTATGGAACATTACCTGAGGACTCACAGTCTTACCTGTTAAAAGTGTAAAGCAGATATTCAAAAGCAACTTTACAGAAACTAAAATAGATGCTGTAGAGTTGTTATAAGGTTTAAAATAGGACATACCAATGCTGCTCTCTAGTGTTTTAATAGTGTATTGAATCTCAGCGGTAATTCTGTCCTCCATTGACTTTTTCCCCAGACCAAAATTCCTCAAAGTCATCAGAGCAAAGCGTCGATGTTCCCGCCAGCTTGAGCCGTAGTCTGCCAGAATCACCCCTTTAAAACATTGGGCAAAACAAAAAGTTACCTCTGTCCAGAACAGCTTTCATTTAATGTTCTTTTACTCATTACATTTAATTTTTGTGGTAAATTATTTTATGTTTTTTATTACATAAAAATATTATGAATATATGTTGTGACTTTTAAACAGAGCTGATCATCTGTTTGAGCAAGGCAACAGTGTTGACTGAAGTGAAGTCAGACCCTTTAAGGATCAATTAGATCAATTAAACAGACCATTGCAGTTGTCTGTTAAATGTATATTATCTCAGAGGACACAAAAACATTAGAAGTTGATAAGAGGTCTACAAGGCCAGCATTGTGTATTTCTAAGAATCTGCTGACATGGCATCACTGATAACTTCAAGCAGAGCTGTTTCAGTGAAATGCATTATAAATGTTTTTTTCAAAGTAGCCTGTAAGTTGGGCAGCAACTGCTTTCTCAAAAAGCTTTGACATAAAGCTTATGTTCGATTATAACATAAAGGGGGATTTTAGGCAAAAGCATCACAATTATGTTTTAAAAAACATGGAAACCTCTCAGTCAGAAGGAAAATACTGAATTGAATTAGGTTAGGGAAGAGGCAAATATGAAGAGTAAGAAAGAACAATACATAACCTTTCCTCTTGGTAACATCATTGACAAACAAGTCCTGTGGTCGTCCAGAGAAATCAGCAGCTTTGATTACCATGGCTTCTTTCATTGCTTTTAGCCCGTTGATTACCACAGCTGGTTTTGGACCAATGTAAATACTGTAGACATTTCCATATAATCTATTTAGCTAGAACAAAAAAAAAAAAAAAAAAATTAGAAAAAGAAATATAAGAAAGCCAAGGGTTTTAACACTTGTTCATTCCATGTGCAGCTATGAAGTCTGAGGTAAATTTTGCAAACAAGTGTTTACACTCTATTGGCAATGTTATTCATAAAATAATCGATTTCTTTTGTTTCTAGCTTTGTACAGCAAATGGTTGGATGCACCACAAATGGTAAAAAAAACACTGCAGACAGATGAATGAGGCAAACTCCTAATCACACATCCAACAGGACAACTTATGCTGAAAAATACAAACTTTAAAACACAGACAAAAACACAAAAAATGATGCCAGATAAAAAAAAAAAAGCTGTAAACTCATAAAAAAAAAAAAAAAAAAAAGTGCACCTGGCCACTAGGGGGAGACATTGACCTTTTAAATAAATGTTTCAAATATTGAGTTGTCGTATCCTGTGAAAATAGCCATACCCCTCATAATTGTTTTGGCAACGATTAGTAAAGAGAGCAGATACTAGCTTATCGGGTCCACTGTCTATAACCTCTTGCATTAACTGCCATTATTCCAAGTGTGCAGATGGTTAATGTGTACTGAATACAGTACAATACAGGTATTTGCAATTATAAAACAGCACCCTGCTTGGAAAGCAAGTTTATTTGTGTTTATTTCACCATTCATGTTTACTGCAATTTTTCCAATATTGAATGAATTATTGCTACTGTTTTGAAGATCTTTAAACAGCATGAGGCATATTGTACCAAGTTGCTTACCCTGTCAAAGTCCTTCAGTGGGTTTTCCAGGCTCAGGTTTAAAATGTTCCCCAATACAGGTAAGATGGGAGGTCCTGGAGGAAAATTCTTTGGTCTCTGGGATCGAAACAATAGAATGATGAACCAAGCAAAAAGCCATAATAGAAAGACAGAAAAAAACATGTTTCTTTATTGTCTGAGGAGAAAATATCAGGTAGTGACAGAATTAATCTGCGCCTGTTAGCCCTGCCTTGTTTGCGTAAGGACCTTACACTATGTGTTAAAGGTAAGGGTAAGGGCAGAACTAGTTTGAGCAGGATCTGGCAAGAGCAATGCATCAGAAGTAAAGCCTGATAACCTGTAGGCAATAAGTGTTAGAAACTAATCGGTCTCACAGAGGGATAACGAGAGGGGATCTTTTTCTGCACCAGTCAGAGCTATTTGTTGGCTCAGATCACACCTTAATATATACACTACTGTCTGTTATTTACACTTATCCAGACACATGACAAATGCTTTTTGTGTGTTGTTAGCTCATGTTGCATCATAAAATATCTGTTTGCAAAAGCTAGCCATGTCATGACATACCTGATATGATAAGTGGAATACTTACACACATTTAGACCTTTGGATCTGCTATGAGTTAGATTGACAAACCCATCTGAAATTTTTATCCGAACAACGTTATCATCTACAAAATATGCAGAAATATGTTGAAGTTAACCTATTCAGTCCCTTAAAAGAATTGAGGAATGGAGGAAAAGTTTGAAAGACATGTGAAATATATAATTGTAAGTAAATTGCAAAAAAGTTATTATTTTTGAATTACTTTTGGAAAAGAATTTCCAAAGACTATGGTGTTTTGTTAATCATTTCAGGCCGATAAAGGCCAGAATCATACAAAAAAAAAAAATTAAATAAATAATAATAATAATAATTAGGAATATTATTTGATTTAAATTTAAAGAGACAAATTCCAGCCCAACACTTAATATTTGCACCAAAAACCCCAATGAAAGAAATCTGTTACCTCTCGTAGATACTTGCAATCTGGCTTCTGTTTGTGCAATGGGATATATATGGGGAAAAATAATCAAGAAATACAGAATAGAACTGAAAATCCTCCTTTGATATATAAAACCTTAAATGGCCAAGCTCTATCTTAACCAGGGATCTGATCATTCCTTATAACAGAGCAATTTACTCTCAATCTGCAGGTGTAGTGGTTCCTAGAATTACTAAAAGCAGAATGGGAGGCAGATATTTTTGTTATCAAGATCCTCTCCTGTGGAACCAACTACCAGTTTAAGTTCATGAGGCAGACACCCTGTCTACTTTTAAGGCTACTCTTAAAATTTTCCTTTTTGATAAAGCTCTTAGTTAGAGTGGCTCAGGTTATCCCGAGCTAACTCTATAGCTATGCTGCCAATGCCATAGGCTTTGACTTCTGGAGGACAAAGGGACTACATTTCACCATTCTTCTTCATTCTATCTCTATTCTCCCATTCTGCAATATTTGTAAGTTTATCCCCAACCTTAATGCTCTTTCTGCTTTTTCTCATTGTAGTAGCTTCATTTGGTCTGTTACCGTGTGACTGAGACACCATACTGGAGAGAAATATTAACTGGGCTGCTGCCATCAACACCATTATTTATAAAGGTTGAAGCTTAGCCTTCTTTTCAGTCTAGTCCTGTTTCTCTTACTGTAACAAACCTATGCACTCTCTTCATCCTTATGAGAACTGACTCTGAGCTTGTCTACATGGCTGTGTCTTTTCTGGACAGGGCCAGCTAACCAACTAACTGCTGAAGGTGGAAGGAAGATAACTGAGGATCAGAGGAGCCTGTGGACAGACAGAGCAAAGAGGTGGCTGAAAGAAGGCAGTAGCTGGTCAATCTCTTTGCTTGAGGTAGGACAGTCTTTCTAGGGCTAAGTTAAAACAGTTTTTTTTTTAAAGCCAACCACAAACCTCTTAAGAGCAATCCTGACTTCATCTTTTGTCAAAATCTGTTTCTCTATCTTCCATTTTGATCAGGATACTTTTTCACCTCCTTAATTTTTCTTTGCAATACAGTCAATCAATGTAGCCTACATGAGATGACAGTTTGAAATGGTTAATGGATTTGATGCCTTAAAGCTGAAGTCTGTAAGTTTTTAAAAATCACTTTTTTGTCATATTGGCTAAAACTGTCCCTATGCCCAGACAGCAGTACATGTGATATGTAACCTGTGAAAAAAACTGCTTCAATTGGTCCCGCCTACTGCCTGTATTTCAATCTGGAAAGAATAATTCGGGACGAGTCAAAACAACCAATCACAGCCAGAGGAGCGTCTGATGGAGTGTCAATCACAGCTCACACACGCTGAATCCCCCCCCCCCCCCCCCCCCCCCCCCCCCCGCCCCCTTCTGGTCGCATGCGGTAGCCGGGCAGATGCTGTGAGAGGGGTGGAGCTTGGAGGTAGGGCATGAGTGAAGAAGAGAGGGTGGGGGAGTGGCGTGAAACCTGTTTTTCTTCAAATTTTCAGTCGAAGTCTGCTCTCTTCTCAATGTTACAGACTGCAGCTTTAATCAGCAGATACAGTACTGAGTTTTGTGATGGATCAGACCAGCATTAAGAATGTTTTTTTGATTTGTTTCTCAAAATGCAGTTACTAGAGATTACTAGAGAGATCCCATTGGCATTAGCACAGGTATATTTTGTCTTGCAGATTTACAGGATCTAACTGTGGGTTACACTGTATTTTACAACAGCAATGGACTTTGACTCAGCCAATTACATTTAAGAATGGGAAACACCCATTTAAAAAATTTGTTTATCTCTGTGCACTGTCAATGCTTTGACAACGCTAGATCACGCCCTTGGGCTGGAAAACAACCTTTGCCCGACATGCTGAACGCTGAATCCCGGGTTTATGTTTTGTAAAGAAGGCTTAGGAGTAGAATGAGAAGCAGATCCATCAGTTTGTTTTGCTGTTGTTGTTAAACCAGTTTTAGAGAGAGATCCAATATACTTTACTCATTGAAATTAAACTTTCCTTTTGTTAAACAATTTGAACATGCAGTTATTAAGAACATTCTAATTTAGTTAATTATTTATGATGCCTGCTAGAGGATTTACTGAATACTTTGAGCTACCTTTGCTTTATTAGAAGTCTTAGTAATGCATTTTTAAAGGGGTCATAGAATGATTATATAGGGTATTTGGTCCTTAAGGTCTCTGAATAGGGTGTGTAAAATTGTTTGGGCTGAAAATGCCGAGCCAGCTCCCATGTCAGAGGACGAAGAGGGCACATCCAGCTAGTCACGGTCAGAGAAACAGGACAACACTGGAAAACAGGCCGATCTCCAGCATCTATAAACAAGGGTGTTGGTGGCAGCAGCCCAGCTGATATTTCTGTCCAGCGTGGTGTCACAGCCAAACATGAACAGATGAGGCAAAGCTACTATGACAAAAAGCAGAGAGAGCATAATGTTAGAGATTGAACTAACAGATTCTGCAGAGTAGGAGAACAGAGAGAGAATGAAGCAGAATGATGAAATGGGGGTCCTTATGTCCTCCAGAAGTCTAAACCTATAGCAGCATAACTATAGAGATAGCTCAGGATAACCTGAGCCACCCTAACTATAAGCTTTATCAAAAAGGAAAGTTTTAAGCCTAGTCTTAAAAGTAGACAGGGTGTCTGCCTCACAGACCAAAACTGGTAGTTGGTTCCACAGGAGAGGAGCCTGATAACTAAAAGATCTGCCTCCCATTCTATTTTTTAGAAATTCTAGGAACCACTAGTAAACCTGCAGATTGAGAGCGAAGTGCTCTGTTAGGAACATAAGGAACAATCAGATCTATGATATAAGATGGAGCTTGGCCATTTAAGGCTTTATATGTGAGAAGGAGGATTTTAAATTCTATTCTTGATTTAACAGGAAGCCAATGAAGAGAAGCCAGGATAGGCGAGATATGATCTCTCTTTTTAATTTTCATTAGAACTCTGGCTGCAGCATTTTGGATCAGCTGAAGACTTTTAACTATAGTTTGTGGACTTCCTGATAGTAAACAATTACAATAGTCCAGACTTGAAGTAACAAATGCATGGACTAGTTTCTCAGCATCAATCCTGGACAGGATATTTCTCATTTTTGCAATATTCCTCAGATGAAAGAAGGAAATTCTAGAAACCTCTTTGATATGGGATTTAAATGACAGGTCCTGATCAAAAACAACACCAAGATTTGTTACTTTATTATCTGAAATCAGTTTTATCCCATCCAAATGAAGTGACTGGCTAATCAGCTTCTTTTTCAAAGACTCTGGTCCAAAGACTATAACTTCTGTTTTGTATACATTCAGAAGGAAAAGTTAAGAGTCATCCAGGTTTTTATGTTTTCAAGACATGCCTGTAGTTTATGTAATGGGTTAGCTTCATCTAGATTTATAGACAGATATAGCTGGGTATCATCAGCATAACAGTGAAAATTAATCCCATGCTGTCTAATAATTCTACCGATTGGGAGCATGTATAAAGTAAAGAGAATTGGTCCTAGCACTGATCCCTGTGGTACTCCACAGGTAACCTTTGAGCATGTGGAACATTTGTCATTAACGTGAACAAACTGAATTCGATCAGATTTTAACCAGTCTAGTGCTGTAACTTTAATTCCAACAAAATATTCAAGTCTTTCTAAAGAAAATATTATGGTCAACTGTATCAAATGCAGCACTGAGATTCAACAGGACGAGCACAGATACAAGTCCATTATCTGAGGCCATGAGAATATCATTAGTGACTTTCACCAGAGCTGGTTCAGTGCTATGATAAGCTCTAAAGCCAGACTGAAACTCTTCAAAAAGTTCATTATGGTGTAAGTGATCGCAAACTTGTTTGGCAACTACTTTCTCAAGAATTTTAGATAAGAAAGGAAGACTGGATATAGGTCTATAATTGACCAAGTCATCTGGGTCAAGAGACTGTTTCTTAAGCAGAGGTTTAATTACAGCAACCTTAAAAGCATTTGGTACATATCCCTGTAACAGAGATACATTAATCACATCTAAAATGGAGGAGGAGATCAAAGGAAATACCTCCTTAAATAACCTGCTTGGAACTCGATCTAACATACAAGTTGAAGGCTTAGATGAAGACAATAATTTTGCTAATTCAGAAAGTTCAATTGGATCAAAGCAGTCTAAACCCGGTTCAGATTCCATGACTACCTCAGATACAATCGCGGATAGAGGAGTGCTAATGATCTTATTTTCAATCTTATTTATAAAGAATCCCATAAAGTCATTACTTCTTAGAGTAGGTGGAATGGACGGTTCAACTAAGCTATGGCTCTGGGTCAGTTTGGCAACTGTATTAAAAAGAAATTTAGGATTATTCTTATTCTCCTCTATTAATGAGGAGAAATATGCTGCTCTTGCTTTACAAAGGGTCCTCTTATACAGCAGTAAACTATTTTTCTAGACAAGGTAGGATTCCCGTAGCCCTGAGGAGAGATATTTTCTCTCCAGTTTCCTAGCATTTTGCTTCAAAGTGCGCAGCTCTGCATTAAACCAAGGAGCAAGCTTTCTATTTTTAACGGTTTTCATTTTCAAAGGAGCTGCGTTGTCTAAGGCAGTACACAGAGAACTAGCAACCCCATCAACAAAATCATCAATCTGTGAAGGAGAATAAACTAAGCTCTGCAGCACTGCTCAGCGACACAGAGGAGAGAGAAAGTAAAGCAGATTCTTTAAAATGTATAACTGCACTATCTGATAATGTTCTACCTAAATTGAACCTTCTTTTGGGGGAGGAGAACTCTGTTAAAGTAATCCTGAATGGTTATTAGAAAGTGGTCAGAGAGGACAGGGTTGTGAGGAAATACTGTTATTTCTTCACATTCTATGTCATATGTCAGCACAAGATCCAAAGTATGAAAATGAGAATGTGTGGGACTATTCACATTTTGAACAAAGCCAATAGTGTCTAAGATAGCATTAAAGGCTGCTCTTAAGCTATCGCCTTCAATGTCAGCATGGATGTTAAAATCTCCCACTATGATGACCCTGTCAGTATTTAATACCAAATCAGAAAGGAACTCTGAAAACTCATCTAAAAATTCAGAGTAAGGACCTGGTGGACGATACAAAGTTACGAAAAGAAGAGGTTTTCTTGCTTTGAAATTTGGATTGCTTTGAAATACAAGATCTACTTGGCAAGCAAAGACCTCTAAACATTGTAGATTGCAAAAAACCTGTTGGTCAGGGTTCTCAAGTTTTGTACAGCCAATCTGTTAGGTAATGGCTGGATTGCAAGTGAATGGAGGCTCATTGTAAGCTGAGTTGCAAATTTTTAAATTATGCAGCCTTTTGGTGCACTTTGCACGGTAGCAGGAGCAAGAAAACCATGGCTTTTTGCACAGGCAGAAAAGCTCAGTTTAAGTTAAATCTGACAATCAAATCATATAAAGTAGATTATACCGCTCATACGGAGTAATTGTAATCAAATAGCTTTGATGAACTTTTAAAAAAATACATGAACAGGATGGTTAAAAATAACAGTTTATAAATATAAATTTTTTGCTACTAACAATAAGTAAAATTAGTTATAACTGTTCAGTTGACATTTTAAAACATGAGTATTAACAATTTTGTGCAATAATTGTGGCATATTTATTTAACTAAGTATTTAAAAGACATTTTCATCAGAACCAAACAGTGTTGTGAAGCAGTAGTTTTTAAACATGGAACTTTTGCTGTTTAAAACGTATTACCGCTCTGGGAGATAATTGCATTCCCCCCCAGCAGCAAACAAGGGCTGTTAAATCAGGTTTGTGAAGGCATTAAAGTACCTGAACATGCAGGACACACTAGTGTGTAGACATTGTACAAATGTCAAACAAATTCTTCTCATTCACTCAACTTTTAAAAGTCCACCTGACCTTAATATAAATCCAATGGATGAGTTTTGCAAAATCAGAGCTGCAAATGATTTTTTGATTTCTATTCAACACAGAGACATGAGGCCTGTGGAAGTTCCTCATCAGACATAATTGGCACTCGCAGAAGTTTCTTTTAATGACTTTTAGGGTTTTGAAATTAATTAGGGTTGTATTAGTGCATCAAAATGGCCCTTCCCTAAGCATCAGGCTGAAATCTTTTTACATCGTCACCACGGCCACATAAAATTTTGTAGAAACATGAAAGTTGTTATGATTATTCACCAAAGCCTCCTGAAACTTACACTCACCGGCCACTTTATTAGGTACACCTGTCCAACTGCTCGTTAACACTTAATTTCTAAGCAGCCAATCACATGGCGGCAACTCAGTGCATTTAGACATGTAGACATGGTCAAGACAATCTCCTGCAGTTCAAACCGAGCATCAGTATGGGGAAGAAAGGTGATTTGAGTGACTTTGAACGTGGCATGATTGTTGGTGCCAGAAGGGCTGGTCTGAGTATTTCAGAAACTGCTGATCTACTGGATTATTTACGCGCAACCATCTCTAGGGTTTACAACGAATGGTCTGAAAAAGGAAAAACATCCAGTGAGCGGCAGTTCTGTGGACGGAAATGCCTTGTTGATGCCAGAGGTCAGAGGAGAATGGCCAGACTGGTTCGAGCTGATAGAAGGGCAACAGTGACTCAAATAACCACCCGTTACAACCAAGGTGGGCAGAAGAGCATCTCTGAACGCACAGTACGTCGAACTTTGAGGCAGATGGGCTACAGCAGCAGAAGACCACACCGGGTGCCACTCCTTTCAGCTAAGAACAGGAAACTGAGGCTACAATTTTCACAAGCTCATCGAAATTGGACAATAGAAGATTGGAAAAACGTTGCCTGGTCTGATGAGTCTCGATTTCTGCTGCGACATTCGGATGGTAGGGTCAGAATTTGGCGTCTACAACATGAAAGCATGGATCCATCCTGCCTTGTATCAACGGTTTGGCTGGTGGTGGTGGTGTCATGGTGTGGGGAATATTTTCTTGGCACTCTTTGGGCCCCTTGGTACCAATTGATCATTGTTGCAACGCCACAGCCTACCTGAGTATTGTTGCTGACCATGTCCATCCCTTTATGACCACAATGTACCCAAATTCTGATAGCTACTTTCAGCAGGATAATGCGCCATGTCATAAAGCTGTAATCATCTCAGACTGGTTTCTTGAACATGACAATGAGTTCACTGTACTCAAATGGCCTCCACAGTCACCAGATCTCAATCCAATAGAGCATCTTTGGGATGTGGTGGAACGGGAGATTCGCATCATGGATGTGCAGCCGACAAATCTGCGGCAACTGTGTGATGCCATCATGTCCATATGGATCAAACTCCATGAGGAATGCTTCCAGCACCTTATGCCACGAAGAATTGAGGCAGTTCTGAAGGCAAAAGGGGGTCCAACCCGTTACTAGCATGGGGTACCTAATAATATGGCCGGTGAGTGTATGTTAAAACAATCATATCTGTATCTCTTATACAATTTGATTCATTAATCATAGTTAAACATAAACCTGCTTGGCAGAGGTCTGCACTCTCAGAGTATTTTTCTGGTTAGGATTGCTTTAACCTCACAAGGCAAGGGAAGTTTAATAATCGAGCACATTTCAGTAGCATGACAACTCAACCTGCTGTACATGAGAAGAAAATGAAAAGAACATAGGAATGGCCAAAAGAAAAAAACAGAAATAATTAGCTAAGTTGATATATTAAAAAAGTTACAAGTATTTAGTTGGACCAAAAACTTTGTAGTTCTTCTCATTATCTTTGCTGAATGCCAGTTGATTCTTGTAGTAATTTCTGTAGAGTAGAAATCAGACTTATCCCATGATAAAAAAAAAAACATTCTGAAGTCTGTGGCGATTTCTCATAGCACTTTATATGTTGATATTTTGTTCAATACAGGTTATTTCAGTTTTATTCATATAGCTCCAATTCACAACAGATCTAATTTCAAAGCAATTTCTAAAAACTGTTTCATTGAATAATAGAGTCTGTTTAGTTTAAAGTTTTGTATTTAAGGAAACTTTAACCCTAACACATGAGAAGAAATACACAAAATAATTAAGAATTTAATACAACTATTGTACCCAAACCAAATACATATATCATAATGAAGACAAGTTTACATTTAATGTTGTTGAGCTAGAATTAAACAAAATGTATTTCTAAATCCAAGCTATTGCGCTTTTAATGCAGCGTGTTTCTTCTGTCCTCACTCTGAGGATCTTAGTTGGACCTTCATGTTGTAAGGTTTTGGAGTTAGAGTGACCCCATAAACTGGAGTAAAATCTGGTTCTCCTGCATCCTCTGGCCAGATGAACTTGAACTTCTTCAGCAGAGTCACAGTGAAGAGGAAGAGCTCCATTCTAGCCAGACCTTCTCCGAGACACACCCGAGGACCTGAGAAAAAGAAAACAGATCAAGTTCACAAGCTATGCTTATCACCTCAGATCTAATATAATCTTTTCTTTCCATTTTACCTGCAGAGAAAGGCATGAAGGCATCTGGTTTGACAAACTCTCCATGTTCATTCAGGAAGTTTTCAGGGTTGAATTCATGAGTAGATTTCCACTGTCCCTCCTCCCTCAGAACCGAGGTCAGATTCTGAATGATCATTGTTCCCTGAGGCCATAAAAAACAAAAATATGTCAAAATGTCATTACTTCCTCTCTTTTAAACACAAATCAGTAATGGTAAGCTCACCTTGGGAATGGAGTATCCCATGAGCTCGGTGTCCTTAGTTGTACAGTGGAAAACACTGAGAGGAACTGTGTTGGCAATCCTCTGCACTTCATGGATCACAGCCTGAATGAAGGCAGATAACCTGATATTTGTAACATTAAAACAGCTTAAACTTAAGAGTGGAAACAGTGGCAATAGATGACGACTGGGAATGGGTCAAAGCCAATGACTAAATGAGTCAGACTTAATTTATATCCCTTTAAAAGAACCTTCACAATTAGTTATCCAGGCTTATCAGGAAATTTTTCTGTTTCTTTATGCAGATAATTTTTTTATGCATCTCTATTTATTTTCTGTTATGCTTAGTTTGCTGGTTTAAAAAAAAATGAGGACATACCTCAGAGGCTGCATTTTTCTTTAGACGTTTTATATTTTTCATTTTCTTACTATGTCTATAGTTTATTACATCTGAATAAAATGACTGGTGTAAAAGACTCCTACTGTTAACTAAGTGACATTTGCTGTATTTCTGATTAACCATGTTACAGAACTTAATGCAACATCTTGGGACACTTTCGAATGCAGTATTTTGCCGAGAAATTGTGATTTTTCAAACCCTGGTGATGTCTTCAAGATGCAGATATCTCATCAAGCTATTTCTTGCACCTTCTGAACTGTGTTTACATCCTTTTAAATGATTAACTGCTATAGTCAGCATGCTTCAAGCATTTTTTTTAGTTTAATGGCTTCTTTTGTGTTTGAGGTATCTGTTTTTCATATATTTGTTTGCTTCTGTGTAATCATGCATAGCAGGAAAACAGCAAATCTATTCTGAAAACATTCCTCTGGCCACCTTCTACCACATAAAAGGGCTTGGAGTTTGTAGACTCTATTCACTGCTCAACTAAACACCAATTCTTAAGACTTGAGATTTGGCTTCTCAGTATGCTTGGAGTCATTTAAACCACTACCATATCTCTATGACAGTTTTGATTATGTTCTCCTGCTTTTCTCATCCATTAGATTCCATCAGTTTTCAGCATTTCCTGCTCCCCACACCTGTGTTCCATCTGAAATCATACCACCTGTCCTTAATCAGTAATAACCCTGTTAAGCACTTACTTTACATTCACAATATTGTATATTCCCAACTACAGCTTTGTTGTTTTAGCATCAATTCTGCTGACCTATTCCTTTTTTATTATATCAGGTTTGGTTTTGATGGTTTGTCAAACAAACAACTAAGTAACAAAAAAACTATTGTCTTTAAAATTATTATATTAAATGTTTAGCTTTGAAGAACTGAGAACTAAAACTGTGGACAACCTTGCAAATTATATTGGCCTTTTAGAAAAATACAAACTTCTATCAGAAGCAGTCCTCTAACTGCTGAAGATTTAGTTGCTACAGCACATGTGATACTGAATAAAAACGGAAAGAAATCAGTTGATGCTCCCCACCTGTACATAAGGCATGCTGTTTCTGTCCTCGAAGCTGGCTCGATCCTTCCCCTGCAGCACCTGATCAATCTCCTGCTGGCATCGTTCTGAGAATCCAAGTTAGCTGCATGTTACTCTACAACCTAAACCAGTGGTTTTCAAACTGGATTCTCAAGACTACAGCATATGGCTCAGCTATTTGTAGCCCTGAAGGCTGTCAGTGCTTGCGGTGTATCGCACTAAAAAAACCCAGTTAAACTTAGCAAAAACGAATCTTATCTGAATTCTCATGGGTACCTTGTATGTGTGGGTAGTTCATCAGGTAAAGAAAGCCTGCCAGCAGAGTATTAGAGGTGGTATCCGTCCCAGCAAAGTGAAGATCTAGAATATAGTTTGTGAGCAGTTCCTCTGAAAACGAAGAACCATCATTGCCTCTCTGCAAATAAGGAAAGTGAGCAATTTAGGACAACCCTAAATAATACTGTAAAAATGCTCCCATGTGATTAACAAATAATACAATTCTTTTGTTATTTTAGTTTAAAACAAACTTATTTTTGAATACAAGTGTCATATTCTAAAAGCATATTCCTAAGCTGAAACTTTAATGGGTCAAAAATCAAAACTGAAATAGGGCAAATACTTTTGCACCCCTGCAAATACTAAAGGTCCTCTATGAGGTCATTATTGCACACATTGTTAAAGACACAATGATATAGTGGGGGCGACAGTGGCGTTGGATGTAGGAGTTTGCCCTGAAATCGACTCCGACTTTCAGTGTCGTTGTGTCCTTGGGCAAGACACTTCACCTGCATTGTCTACTGATGGTGGTCAGAGGGCCTGGTGGTGCCAGTGTACGGCAGCCCTGCTTCTGTCAGTGAGCCCCAAGGCAGCTGTGGCTACAATGTAGCTTGCCACCGTGAGTGTGTGTGTGAATGGGTGAATGAATGTAGTGTAAAGCGCTTTGGTCAAGTCTCCTGACTTGAATAAAGGCGCTATATAAGTACATGCCATTTACCATTTAGTGCAGCCAGACTAACAGGTTTTATGGTGCAATCGAGAGTTGACCCTGGTCACCTTATCCAGTTCATCCAGATAGCAGTCTAGAAAGTCTCGAGGCTCTCCAGGAACTCTGGTCTTCTTGTGCTCTGTCACCAATTCCATTGCAATATTCTGACAAGTCTGAACAAATAAGAAATACAGAATTGAAAAAAAAAAATAATTCACAAAAGTCTGTAGAAGAGGATGATTAATTTAAGAAGCTAACAAACCATAAATGTCTAGCAATGAAAACTTTACTAAGAATGAATACGAGCTATGATGGGGTGGAGTATACAGCAGGTATATGAGTTAGAGTGACAGAAGTAATAGTAAGAAGAAATAATTTTTGGACTGAATACCAAAAACTTACATCAGTTAGCTTGCACCTTTATTGTGGAATAACTCTAAGCCTGCATAAGATTCAGGAGATACCAAGAAAATACAGGTAGACAGCATTTCTTCTGGAATCCTCTGGAGAAGGTTTGAAAATTATTAAGATAGGAGACTTCCAAAGTTTAACATTAACACCTCCAAGTAAGTGGTTTGTTAAATCCAGGAAAGGCTGAGATTTAAACCTGGATACATCTATAAATAGATGAACTGATAGATGGTCCGCTTAGTTGATTTTTTCTTCTGGTACCTTATAATTTGTAAAGGCTTTTCTGAAGGGAAGTGGCAGGCTGCGAGTTATTGGAAGAGAGTCGTACACCTGTAAACAGAAATAAGCAGTTAGTTTATTGTCCTTATGACCTGCAAATTGTGTGGCATAGGGCATCTGAATTCAAGGAGATCGATCTATCTCAAGATTCATGTAAATAAACAATTTTTATTGGCCTATAAGTGATCACCTGAGTCTCAAAGCACGTTTTAGAAAGATCTTAGGCAAATAAAGGTTGTGTTTTAGCAGAAGATATCTAATAGGACTCTAAAGTGAACCAAATGTACAGTAGAACCTTTCCATTGTCAAGGGAGGAAGAGCTTTAGGAAGTGAATGATTTAGTGCTTGTAGATAAGGGGCCCGTTTCATGACGCAGGCACAATCTGAAGCGATTCTGTGCGACTGATAACCGCAGATAACGACCATTTATTAGGACGATAACATCTGAAGCGCGGCTTCAAACAGACACTTAATATTTACTGTGTAAAAGAAGACCACATAAAACTGAAGAACCCAATGAGAAAATGAGGTTCCATCTATTAGAAAAAATGTTTTTATTCCTCATGCTTACCTGCTGACAGGTGATTTCACCTAAATACATACATTGATCCATTACCATTTGAGAAATAATCCTGTAATATTATTGCGGTAACAAGCCATTTTGATGTGTTAGTTTTACTGAATATGTTTTCCTGATATATGAAAAAGAAATGATTTGTCTAAATGAACATTTTAAACAAAATGTCATTCTCCACATCTAGAACAAAAAATCTGGATTTCTAGAAATTGATTTCAGATCTCCACATTCCTAATATACAGGTCATCATTTGTATTTTTTTGAGTATCTCCTGAATGTGGAGAAAACGAAGGAGATCATCGTCATCTTTAAAAAGAATGATGTAAAAACTGTGGACTATATCTCAGTCTTATGTTTACATTTGATCACCATGTTTATATTTTATCACTGCTGCACTTTAAGAAATGTAAATGTCTTGAGAGCTGTACTGAACAAAATTTCGTTTTGTACACACTCTGTGTACAAAATGACGATAAAGTTTGTCTAAGTCTATGAAGAAATGTTTTTCAGATATCATAAATACATATTCAGTCAAGCTGTTAAATGTCAGAACAGCCCCCTAAAATGGGAAAACACTTCTAGATATATAAAACTTAATTCTTACTAGTATAATTTTGTTTACTAATTCAGTTTCTGCTGCAAAAATGTAATTTAGAAAGTATATTATTACAGTTAGGCCTAGGAGTTATATTTTTATCAGTAAGAATCTTATTTTAGCGATCTACAAATGGAACAACAGAGTAGAGTGCTTATAATAAATGTACAAACAGCATGCCATATAAACTGAGGCAATAACTTGAGTAACAATCTTCTCCTTGGCCATCTTCCTCTCCTTTGTAACGCTGTTTCTCTGGCTTTTAAACACATTCTCCCTTTTTCATATTATTTCTTCATTAAAATCTCCAGTTCCAGTTGGGTAAGATAGGCACTTCCTGTTGCCTGTTGTCATGGTAACTCGTTTAATTGGTGCTCCACTGATAATGGTTTTTCATACTTGTTACGCACATGCTGAACTCTAAGTGGTTCTACAGTACTTGGAGTTGATTACCTAATTCATTGCAGTCCTTGCAAAATCAAAAGCCCTGAGTTCCCGACTTTAGGCTACATCAATTTAGAGATGAGGATTTTAATCTGTGTTTGTTAAACCTGCTTCGTGAAACGGACCCCAGAAATAGATTTTAACTCACCATAGCCCAAGGTCCATTGGCCATCTTCGAATTCTCAGTGAAGCACTGAACAATAACTTTGATCAACTCATCATTGTATTCAAAGCGTTTACCAAACAGAACTTGGCAGATGATGTTGGAGGCTGCGTTATGGAACATGACCTGTGGGCTCAGTATGCCATCTGTACAAATCACAATAATCAGAAACGGATTCATCAGGTTTCACTAAGATTAGTGTTGCGCCGATGCCATTTTTTGGCCCCGATACCAATACCCGATACCTGGCTGTGCAGTATCGGCTGATACCGATACCATAATAATGTAAAATAATTGCCATCATGGCTTTGTCAACCTGCTGCCTACCTTTGTGAAGCCGGAAAAAAATCTAATACAAAGTGAAACCAGTAAAACTTTTTATTGCCTACCAGGAGTGGGTGACAATAGTTGAATAAACTTATGGCTCTCAAAATGGTATCGGTGCCCTATTTGTTGGTACTCGCCGATACCGATACCACCATTTTAGGGCAGTATCGGGGCCCCGTCCGATACTGGTATCGGTATCAGTAGCTAAGATCAATATTAGTTTTAACAAAGAATACTGCAACCCTTTCAACACATCCATAAAATATACATTGGATACTATAGTATTCATTGATGCTCAGTTATTTAGTGTTTAATTTGGTTAGATGGTAGTTTAAGTTGGAAATATTATAAAGCAAATTAAATTAAATTGAGGGAACAACATATCTTCCAAAGGGATGATCTCTTTGACCAGGAAGTCCAAGGATAAACATTGCAGGAATAAAGGCTACACAAACTCTAATTAAGTGGTTACCTTGCAAGCAAGATGACTTGGCGTGAGATTTGTAAATTCACATACTCCTGACATCTTGCCAGAAGCCAACAAATGTGTTCGCCTCAATACGGAAAAGTTTTGAACTATATGTATCAATTTAGCTTGTGCCATGTTGGTTAAGTGGACCCATAAAGGAAATACCTTGGCTCTGTTCCAGGGTTTTTATTGTGTATTCAATCTCATCATTGATCTTGTCTTCCATTGACTTTTTTCCTAGACCAAAGTTTCTTAGTGTCATCAGAGCAAAGCGTCGATGTTCTTTCCATCTCAAGCCGTAATCTGCCAAAATCACTCCTAAAACAAATGTGGGAACACAGCAGAAAAAATTTTACTCTCACAATATGTTACATTTATGCATATTTATGTTATACATTTTTGTCATATAAGAGATAAGAGAAACTACAAAAGGACAGTCTAAAAGGGGTTATAATGGCTCTCAACTCACAAGGTAGTGTTAATGTCATTTTGGTTTTCAGCTTAATCCTTTGTGTTAAGCTTTGTTCTTAAACTTGTATACCATTCTCAGTTTAGGTCATTTTAAAATGTTATCCATCACTGACACAGACGACTTCCTCAAAATATTTTCTGATTCATCAAAAATAGAAGCCAATGTTATTGTTGTTGCTTCCATGTGTTATGTACACCAATACTAAAATACTAAGCTGCAGCTACAGATATATACCACCCTGAATAACAATGTCTAATAACAGAAGGTTCTGACTCCAACACACATGGATAGGACACCCACTGCTCTTGAAGCTTCTTTTTTTTTTAAAGTTTACTTTGGTTGTCTGTTGTGTCCTTTTTGCTGTTGATAGCTTAAGAGCAGCCTTTAATGCTATCTTAGACACTATTGGCTTTGTTCAAAATGTGAATAGTCCCACGCATTCTCATCTTCATACTTTGGATCTTGTGCTGACATACGGCATAGAATGTGAAGAAATAACAGTATTTCCTCACAACCCTGTCCTCTCTGACCACTTTCTAATAACCTTCAGGATTACTTTAACAGAGTTCTCCTCCGCCAAAAGAAGGTTCAATTTTAGTAGATCTTTATCAGATAGTGCAGTTATAAATTTTAAAGAATCTGCTTCACTTTCTCTCTGCTCTGTGTCACTGAGCAGTGCTGCAGAGTGCAAAAGCTTAGCTTATTCCCCTTCACAGGTTGATGATTTTGTTGATGGGGTTGCTAGTTCTCTGCGTATTGCCTTAGACAACGCAGCTCCTTTGAAAATGAAAACCGTTAAAAATAGAAAGCTTGCTCCTTGGTTTAATGCAGAGCTGCGTACTTTGAAGCAAAATGCTAGGAAACTGGAGAGAAAATATCGCTCCACAGGCCTGCGAGAGTCCTTCCTAGTCTGGAAAAATGGTTTACTGCTGTATAAGAGGACCCTTTGTAAAGCAAGAGCAGCATACTTCTCCTCATTAATAGAGGAGAATAAGAATAATCCAAGATTTCTTTTTAATACAGTTGCCAAACTCACCCAGAGCCATAGCTCTGTTGAACCGTCCATTCCACCTGCTCTTAGCAGCAATGATTTTATGGGATTCTTTATAAATAAGATTGATCTTATTAAAAATAAGATCATAAGCACTCCTCTATCCGCGATTGTACCTGAGGTAGTCATGGAATCTGAACCGGGTTTAGACTGCTTTGATCCAGTTGAACTCTCTGAATTAGCAAAATTATTGTCTTCATCTAAGCCTTCAACTTGTATGTTAGATCCAGTTCCAACCAGGTTATTTAAGGAGGTATTCCCTTTGATCTCCTCCTCCATTTTAGATGTGATTAATCTATCTCTGTTACAGGGATATGTACCTAAAGCTTTTAAGATTGCTGTAATTAAACCTCTGCTTAAGAAACCGTCTCTTGACCCAGATGACTTGGTCAATTATAGACCTATATCCAATCTTCCTTTCTTATCCAAAATTCTTGAGAAAGTAGTTGCCAAACAAGTTTGCGATCACTTCCACCATAATGAACTTTTTGAAGAGTTTCAGTCTGGCTTTAGAGCTCATCATAGCACTGAAACAGCTCTGGTGAAAGTCACTAATGATATTCTCATGGCCTCAGATAATGGACTTGTATCTGTGCTCGTCCTGTTGGATCTTAGTGCTGCATTTGATACAGTTGACCATAATATTCTTTTAGAAAGACTTGAATATTTTGTTGGAATTAAAGGAACAGCACTAGACTGGTTTAAATCTTATCTATCTGATCGAATTCAGTTTGTTCATGTTAATGATAGATCTTCAACACGCTCAAAGGTTACCTGTGGAGTACCACAGGGATCAGTGCTAGGACCAATTCTCTTTACTTTATACATGCTCCCAATTGGTAGAATTATTAGACAGCATGGGATTAATTTCCACTGTTATGCTGATGATACCCAGCTATATCTGTCTATAAATCCAGATGAAGCTAACCCATTACATAGATTACAGGCATGTCTTGAAGACATAAAAACCTGGATGACTCTTAACTTTCTGCTTCTGAATGCAGACAAAACAGAAGTTATAGTCTTTGGACCAGAGTCTCTGAAAAAGAAACTGATTAGCCAGTCACTTCATTTGGATGGGATTAAACTGATTTCAGATAATAAAGTAAAAAATCTTGGTGTTATTTTTGATCAGGACCTGTCATTTAAATCCCATATCAAAGAGGTTTCTAGAATTTCCTTCTTTCATCTGAGGAACATTGCAAAAATTAGAAATATCCTGTCCAGGGGTGATGCTGAGAAACTAGTCCATGCATTTGTTACTTCAAGGCTGGACTATTGTAATTCTTTACTATCAGGAAGTCCACAAACTGTAGTTAAAAGCCTTCAGCTGATCCAAAATGCTGCAGCCAGAGTTCTAATGAAAATGAAAAAGAGAGATCATATCTCTCCTATCCTGGCTTCTCTTCATTGGCTTCCTGTTAAATCAAGAATAGAATTTAAAATCCTCCTTCTCACATATAAAGCCTTAAATGGCCAAGCTCCATCTTATATCAGAGATCTGATTGTTCCTTATGTTCCTAACAGAGCACTTCGCTCTCAATCTGCAGGTTTACTAGTGGTTCCTGGAATTTCTAAAAGTAGAATGGGAGGCAGATCTTTTAGTTATCAGGCTCCTCTCCTGTGGAGCCAACTACCAGTTTTAGTCCGTGAGGCAGACACCCTGTCTACTTTTAAGGCTAGGCTTAAAACTTTCATTTTTGATAAAGCTTATAGTTAGGGTGGCTCAGGTTATCCTGAGCTATCTCTATAGTTATGCTGCTATAGGCTTAGACTTTTGGAGGACATAGGGACCCCCATTTCATCATTCTGCTTCATTCTCTCTCTGTTCTCCTATTCTGCAGAATCTGTTAGTTCAATCTCTAACCTTCTGCTCTCTCTGCTTTTCCTCAGAGTAGCTTTGCCTCGTCTGTTCCTGTTTGGCTGTGACGTCATCCTGGAAAAAAACATCAGCTGTGCTGCTTCTATCAACACCCTTGTTTATAGATGTTGGAGATCGGCCTGTTTTCCAGTGTGGTCCTGTTTCTCTGACCGTGACTGAGTGGATGTGCTCTCTTCGTCCTCTGGCATGGGAGCTGCCTTGGAGCTCGTCTGCCTGGCTGTGTGTTTCCTGGACGGGGCCGCCTTTTACAACTGCTTTTTGTATCTCTGCTTCTGTCTCCTTGAACCCCAGTCGGCCTCGGCAGATGGCCGCTCACACTGAGCCTGGTTCTGCTGGAGGTTTCTTCCTGTTAAAAGGGAGTTTTTCCTCTCCACTGTCGCTACAAGCATGCTTAGTGTGGGGGATTGTATTTGAGTCAATGAGTCAATGCAATCAACTGGTTTTCCTTAGATAGAAAACTTTGTATCAATTTGACTGTATGATCTGGTTGAACTGTAAAGTGCCTTGAGATGACATGTGTTGTGAATTTGGCGCTATATAAATAAACTGAATTGAATTGAAATTGTTATGCTCTCTGTTTTCTGATCCTCTCTTCTCTAATAGGTATGGAAGCAGACTTCCAGGTATATCTTCAGTCTTGTCTATTTTCGCTTCTTCTCTTTTCATGCATGTATCTTTCCTGTCTCTATCTCTCTCCTTCTTTCCCCTTATTTAATATCTTCCCTTTCTTTCTCACCTCCATTTGCATGTCCATTGTATATGATTTTACTCCCCAAATAATGTTCAATTAAGTTTAATATACAAATATCAAGCTGAACTATATGATAACAGTCACACTGGTCTGCTTGTGAAATCAAAGCTGTTGGGCTATCAGCTAGCTGTGGGACATAAATTCCCAGAGCTTTATTAGCTAAACAGGACACACACAGAAAAAAAGAAAAGAAAAAGGAAGCCAATGTAGTCCATTTTTGAATAGCTACCAGCTCTGTGGCTCTCCTTTATGCATAGTCTGTAAGAATTATGGATAAATTCTGTTTGGGATGGATGACGGGGCAAGTCAGACAGGAATTCAGAGATCAAACAAAAGGATTTGGTAAATATTAGAACAAGAACAGAGGCTGTCTAGGTGCCTGAATGAATCCTACACGCATCTGTTAATCCATTTTTCATGCAGACAAAGGTGCAATGCTGCAGAACACACCCTGATACAGCTGACAGAATTGATTTGGAAAGTAGTCAGTGTGAAGTCAGTTTCACATGTAGCCTTTCATGTGTCTGCCTCATCATGCACAGCAAAATCCTGCCGTGCAACAGCCCTCACTCTGCAGGAAACACCCATGCATCTTTTCTTATATTGTAATTTTCCAGATTTGCTTTACTACACCTTTGTCATACGTCCTGTCTTGCTCATGTGATTTTTTAGATGTTGACCCAGTTTTCTCCATCATCTGTCACAAATAGGCTTGATCAGTGTGTCTGATGAACGAAGGACGAGAGTTGTCATACTGCAGCCCAACAGGGGTGGTAGGAATTACCACTTTGACAAAAAAAAAGCTTCTATTCATGATAAAAGGGAGAATGGTGGATTCGAACAAGTCCAGCCTTCTCTGACTGCTACTGCCCCTCACTGAGCGCACACTCTGTCACCTAGCAACCATGGTAGTGAGACACAAAGCAGGCAAAGAATGGATGCCAAACTTCTCACTATTGATCTGTATGCTAATTACATTTTCGAGGAGCTTCAGAGCCATCCTAGCAGATATCACATTTGTGTTCCCCATGATGCCAAGATTTTGTAATCTGTGCTTAAATGTCAGCCAAACCTATTTCCACATGGACTGATAAAGCCTTTCAATAAACTAACCATTACCTTCCACATATCTGACTCAATAATTATTTAAAACAACTATTTCCATTCTTTTCATACAGAACTAGTCACATACTTGTATTATATTATGCTGCACTTATAACATGCACCACTGTTTGTCGCTATTTCCCTTTTGCCTCTGAGCACAGAGCAGCTGGCTTGCTTGGACTCGCAATGAATCATGGGATACCCAGGGCTGCAGAGGACACATCCAGACCTGTCCTTCAAACCTTTGGAGGACGCAACCGTCGGATCTGAACACACTATATAAGTCTTTATGCACCCTTCCCTTGGTTTATACTCACATTGGCTTTCATTGTTCATAGCTTTTCATTGTTCATTCCTTTTGCTAGGCTGCCTGTGCTCCATATTTTGTTTTTGCTGTGATCAACAAATAAGGTCTCCTCCTTCTTTTATTTCAAACACTTTTTGGAGTCCTTTACTCACCAGAAACATGACACACCACAGACAAAAATTTTTACCTCAGTTGTTATATCAACAACTCCCCATTCCTAAGTGGTGGACCTGTTCTTCTGGTTCAACTTACATGTTTTCTAAGCCAAATCAAGGCTTTTTTGGGCAACTCTATAAAGCTTGGAAATCAATGCTAATGCTGACATTTTGAATTGAAAAGGCTTCCTGGATGGAAGCCGAAACCTGGAAAAGAAAGTCCAATGTTTTTTTTGTTGTTTTTTTACTTTTTTGGAATGACTATGACCTGGATGACTGAGCATTTTCATCAGCCTGTTCCTCTAAAGGCCTGAAATATTATTTAAAAAAATGTATAAAACCTCAAATGGCTCATCCTCACTTTACTGCACTTGAGGATAATTTTGTGTTTCTTGTTTCCCCCAAGAGGCCTTTCTGATGAAGATGTTCAGGATTTTTTTTTTACCTGTATCTAATGTTAAGTAAAGCTGACCATAATCAGTTACCCTCTTAAACAGTTGACGGTTTAAATTATGGTACGTCTGGTTGCAGAGACTAGTTTTTGCTTCTTTGATGTAACCCTTACCTTTATTCTCTGTGACATCATTTACAAACATGTCTTGTGGTCTTCCAGCATATTCCGCACCCTTTATCGCTATCGCCTCCTTTATGGCCTTTAGTCCACTGATGACCACAGCTGGTCTGGAACCAATAAACAGGCTGTAGACATTTCCATATGAGAGCCTGAGCTGGTAAAGAAACAAGACATAATGGGCTGGGTCATTTCACACAAAAATGCTTCAAATATTATAATAATAGTAATGTATCAGGCTGAATTTCAACTATCACATCCCATAAAGTTTATAGATATTGTTCTGTTCTGCCATGTTCATAAATAAAAAATATTGTAATGAGTGGAATAGGGTTGGAGCTCCTGTTGTGCATGATCACTGCAAATATAGAAATGCATTAAAACGGTATTAGTGCAGAGTTTTACTTGCAACAAAACAAAAACTAAAGTTAGAGGTCTGAAAAAGATGAGCAAAAGCAGCTGAGAAGAAGAACAATAAACCCCATCTGAAAAAAAGTCTTGTTTTTCACTAAGGTCAAATAACATTCAATTAACAATCAGACTGGCTATACCCACCTTCACTAAGAATGACTAACCATCCAATACATGAAACAGATGAGAAAACACCCCTGACTTTTAGACACAGTTGGAAACGTGCCAAGTATATAGGCTGTGGGCTTGGCTAAGTCAGTATCAGATATCATGTTTTTGAAGCAATGAAGTATATTTTCACTAACCATGCTTGGAACAAGATTGGAAATATAGAACATTTAGAAGAAAATAAATGGCGGTCATTCTGTTTATCAGTGCAATAGCCTGTATAAAATCAAGATTAACCACGAATGAGTGCATTAACAACAGCAGTGGTTAGATGTTTCCCAGTGTTGAGGCAGCTAGCTCTACACTGCTCTGCACTACCATCCATTATGCAACCACTTTGTATTCAGCAGAGGAAACACTGTTAAGTAAACAGTGCTTTGTGTTGGGTTGTAAAACTGGATTAAATTTTACTTCCATTAGGTTTAGTGTGAGTTTCTCAGACTGCAAGAATGTTGTAATGAAATCAAATATACAACTAAATTGTTGAAGCAAGAAGGTATATTTAAAAAAAAAATAACACTATTAACAGCACATTAGTTTAAAAACGATGAGGTGAAGCTTTCAAGATCAAAATTGTGTTAAAACTAATTTCTTACCCTCTCAAGGTCCTCTAGAGGGTTCTCCTGGCTCAGGCTCAAAACGTTCCCAAGGAGGGGTAAGGTTGGGGGTCCTGGTGGAAAATTCTTTGGCCTTTTAAATTTGAGTTGGAACAAGAGGAATAAAATTAAGAGGAATAAAAGAATCACAGTACCAAACATGATGGGATAGTTAGCTCTGCAGGATTGCACTAGAAGTGGCTGAGCTCTGCTTTTAGTCCTGCCTCCTGTGCATATATAATCTGTTCCTTTGTCCTAAGAATGGGGCGATACCATTGAAGAGAACAAGTTGATCCACAAAAAACCTACTCACAAAGAAAACTGTCAGTTCCACCTTAAATCCTCATTTCTGAAACAGACAGGGAGACTTTGATGAATTTACTGCAGACAGTGTGTGTGGGAGAGAAGGAAACTTTTTAAAAGACTGTTCTTCAATATCAAACCAGCATTGTTATCGATATTATCTGATACTACAATCGATCTGCCCACTTCTACAGTCAATATTTTCTGTTCAGTAAGACAGCAAAAGATGACAATTTACTGTAAGAGCAAAATTATTTTTATGCTTTTGTGTTGCTGGTATACATTTATTGTATTTATTTAGTTATTCCTATTATGTGTCTGTCTTAGTTGACTCTTGCTTGATGTAATCATCATTTGTGATCTTTTTAATTAGATGGAAAGTGTCCCAATGCTAAATCTAGCAGAGCAGCACCCTCTGCTGATGACTGCCAGCGTTAAACTAGTTGCACAAGTGAACTTTAATGTGAATGGATTCTTTATTATACAAAAGTATTGCCAGAACACTTATACACCTATGGCATAGGTGTATAAGGACCTATTGGTCCTATGCCCATATATTTTTGTGTTGTTTTTTCTTGTCTGTTTTAAAGCGAAGCTGAACCCAGCAAAGGAAATATAGGATTTAGTGTTTCAAAAGGACTCTGGTACATCAATGACCAGAAGAGTCAGCTATAACAAATTCAGTTAGATCACTACTTTTTCAAAGATATAGAATTTTTTTTTTAAATCTGTGTATAATCCCTGCTATGCTAGAGCACTGGTTATTTCATACATTTTATATCTCTTTGTACGATGAAATTGTTCAATCACCTAATTTATCATTTGAAGATAAAATGGTTTGCCAAAGTTCTGAAAATGCATATATTGTTTTTATCAAGAAACTTGGACAAAACTGTTTCCACTGACACCACAGTGGGATCAGGAACCTGTGGTCCGTTAAAGAATGTGTATTCCTGAATGTGAACATCACAGAATTCCACAGCTTGGCTTCATAGAAACCCACAGTCAATCTAATGCATTCCTGCCACACATACACACAAATGTCTGCTGTGTTCTTATCATACTATAAAAAAAATATATAAAATGTCTGTATATGGCAGTCTTGCAACCTTATAAATACTCACTTCAACAAACTTCATTTAGTAATCTGGTCCATGTGTAGAAATGTTTAAAAATTCTGCTATGTTGGCAAGGCAAGGCAAGGAAGTTTATTTGTCTAGAATAATTCAGTACAAAGTCTATACTTAGTGCTCTACATGAATTTAAAGGTGCAGTAGGAGATCTTTTCTGATGCATTTTTTACCATGTGGCTTGAAGATCTCCCCACAGTCGCCTAGCAAGCAGTGAAATAGAAGGTTGTGAAGTGAAACTAAAATAAATGGTCCCTGCTACAGTGAGACACCAATGAGTAACGTCCACCAATCACAAAACAAGGTCTGTTACAGGCACGTGCAGAGGGGGGGGCTAAGGGGGCTTGAGCACCTGCCCCTTTTGCTCCATGATCCCAATGTGCCCTTTTGGTCCTTTTTTTTTTTTTTTTTTTTTTTTGTATCTTAATTTTTTTTATTTGACACATGTACTGAAATTATTATTATTATCTTTTTTTTTGGCAAGAAAAATGTAACCCATGTTAAAATCTAACATAAATAGGGATCTAACATAAATAGGGATAAGTAGTTGGTTAAAAGTCTGTAGACAGAAAATAACGTCGCTGTCCCTGTAAGAAACCAGCGTTACAGGTGCAGTGTCTGGGTGACGCTGCAGTACGCAGACCCGAAGGAGAGAGCAGAGGAGGAATCGGAGAAAAAAAGAGCAGTGATTAATTAACAGAAAAAAAAGTTAATATTTTAGTAAACAAAACATAATTTACCTGGTCGGGAACTGACGAGGATTTTATGAGAACTAAGCCATATCGGTTTTGGTGAGTTTTGTGTTTATTTTTCTGTATTTTCATTGTGTTGTAATTTTTCTGTTGGTGGAGAGTTAATAACTGTTATTCAGTTAATATATGAAGTTTATGAAGAATAATTTATTTGCATAATTTGAGTATTTAAAAAGAGTTTTATTGTGTTTTTGGCCTGTTACACAGGTCAGGTTTTTTGTTTGGATTGGAAGCTTGGTCGGAGCGAGGATTACCCCTTGCTCACACTGGCTCCGGTGCGGTTACCGAGCCGACGGAGACCGCAACTCCCGCACACCCCCTCTCACCCCAGGCTCACACCGACTCCGGTCTTACCGTTGCGGTGCGGTGGATGCGGCGCCGCAGTGATTCCAAGTCATTAAAAAGACGTAAACCTCTCTCACCGGCTGCTGAGCTGTCCGGCTGCGGTTACCGAGACACTCCGGCGCTGCAGAAAATTCCGCAAGAAAGCTATCCTTGCGGCGTGCCGGAGCCCTCCGCAACAAGCTCTCGCAAATATCTTTATTTGGGCCGTGTTATCGCGTGAAGTTACGTGAACTCAAGTGAACTTCTGTTAAATCTCCGGACCTGTTGCCGGAGCCGCGGAGCCGCACCGCACCATAGTCAAAAGGGCGGTGTGAGAGGGGGTGTGCGTGAGTTGCGGTCTCCGTCGGCTCGGTAACCGCACCGGAGCCAGTGTGAGCAAGGGGTCACTGCCATGTGCGGCGTGCACATTCACAGACGGGATTCAAGATGGCGAGCCAGACCTAGAACTTCAATTCATCTTGTCCATTGAGGGAGGGACTTTCCCGCGTGTGGTAATCCCCTGCCAGAGCGGTAGGGATATCAGAAACTAGTTTGAACTGAACTAAAAAAGAACTGGAGACTGATTGAATTATTATTTTTTTTTGGACTGAATCAAACTGATTCTTTTCGTCGAACTGAGTGCCTATATTTACATTTGGACTTGAACTTGAATTTAAAGTGCCATACTTTGATTTTCATATGTTTAATTTCTGAATGTGATTTGAGTAATTGTGGTCCACTTGATTTAACTGTGTTGAAGGTATTTTGCAACCTGTAAAAGAAAGGAAAAGAGTTAACTCAGGAAAAATTTTAATCTTAAAATAGGTGCAACCTATGAAAAAGATACTGGTCTAATTAATCCAAATTAGTCTAATTAAAATAACCTAGGTGAACTAAAGAGCAAAAAGAAAGAGTGATATATTCTTTTTTTTCCTTCTCCCTTTTCCTCCCCATTTATACTTACCTCATTATTAAGAATCCGCAGAGTATTTTTGGTTTCATGTATTGTATTTTATGTGTGTTTTGCATTCATTAAATTGCTGGCCATTTTCACTTAAGCAGCGGTCTCTGGTGCTATTATTTTGCTCCCCACTCCTTAGAGCCTAGAACTGGTCCAGTGGCGCAGTTAGTGGTGTGATACCGGTGCTACAAAAACAATACAATAAGCCCTCCGGTCACATTGTTACCTTTGACCTTTTGCCGGTGACGACGCACTTGCCTCTCGCACAGTCAGATAAGGCGGCTAACTGCGGAGCTAAAGGTAGCGAATATTCCACATTACACTGTGGCCGCTGCTCATTTGGCCCTAAGCAAGATCAACCATGATCGGACGGATGGCTATGTCTTCAGTCTGCACCGCCTCTCCAATGTCAACCTGAATAGAGATGTGAAACCAAATGAGCCCCATGGATGATGCAGTATTGTTTGATCTAAAACACTATTTACTCTGTGCTTTTAGTCTTTTACATTGAAAATTATGTTTTTTAATTCACAAAAAACTGTTCTGTAATGATTACAGAACAGTTTTTTTGTGAATTAAAAAACATAATTTTTGGTGAAAATACTGGAGTAGGCTTCCTACTTGTCAGACAACGGAAAACTTTGAACGTTGTATAATTTCTCTACTTTAGCAAAGAGTAGCGGTTTAAACGGAGGAAAGTAGTTCTTTCTCTGAAGAACTACTGAGCGGGAGGAGACAGCTAGGTGAGGAAAAGCTGTTCTCATCTATCGATTCAGTATTTTTATCATACAGACATTAGGATGTTGTTCTTGTGTTTCCCTTAGCTTTGATTGTATGTCTCACAATTTTGTCATTTATCATTGTTCATTAAACTCTGAAAGCTATGTGACTTTGTTAATATTCTGTCCTAAAATGCGATAAGATGTGCCCTTTTTTTTTTTGAGCACCTGCCCCTTTAGTGGTCTCTGCACGGCCCTGGTCTGTTATACACTTTTGGTTCCTGACACGTCAGTCATGGTGGCACCAAGAGCAGCAAAAACGCAAGTGCTGTTTAATTTTTGATGCTTGTACAAGTTTAGTTCTAATGAACGGCTGAAGCATCTTTGCTGCTCTAGCTGCGTGGTAGAAAAGTGAGTCTGATGCGCGTTGGGCGGAGCTACCCTATCATTTCTTTGCCTGTAACAATGGCAACTCTGAGGTTTCGCTGCTACTCTTCTCTCCTGGATTTCTGGTACCGGCTTAGTAACAAGCTGCGGAGTTCCACTCCTTTGGACTTCACTCCTCAGCTCGGACTTAACTGTGCCAGAGAATTCAGTTAGTCTTCCTAAGGTGACGAGTAGCTGCACATTATCTTAATCTCTGAGCCTTCTGACAACCAGTTTAAGTACGTTAGTTGATATTATCCATCTAGCTGGTTGAGCTCCACATTTTATATTTTTCAAGTTGGATAATTTACTACTGCTAATCATTTAGCTCTGTTCTTTCTGCCAGTTATTCAAATGGAGATTTTACATCTAACTTCATTTAAAGGCCAAGCATTTCTTAGAGAGGATCACTTCTGATAAAGTTACCACTGGGATTGAAAGTATATCACAGAAAAGCAACTCCATGGTCCTGATTTCCAACACTGCCAGCTTTCTTTGCATGTGGGACAGACAGAGTCGGAGCTCTGCACCCTTTAGGTAGTGTTTGCCTGCAAAGAGGAAATGAGGAGGGGGTTTGGGGGGGAACAGATTCAGCAGTAGTGTTGGGCTGGATCCAGGAGATAG